TAGCCACTTGACATGGAAACATTCATTGTTCTCCTTAGCTAGAAGGGGCCTAATGCCATAATCTCGGCGTGCCGTTTGAAATAGCGAAAGAATATGGCCTAAAAGGGGCTAGATATGAAGGAAATAAACTTTTAAAAGCAAAAGACGGCGCCAAAACGCTCTGAAACCCCCGTGTAAAAATGAAAAGTCACCTATGCCCGGGTTTCGAAAAATTATTGCATGTTTTCGAGCGACTGGAAAACAAACCCCCGTAAAGCACTCAACAACTCCAAAGTATAAAAACTGGGGAAACCCCTAGAACCACTAGAACTGAAATACTAAAATAAAATGTTACATATTTCTGAGAAACATGAGGCTTAAAATAGTTTAAATAAACTTTAAATGACAAAAAACGGGGTTAGACAGTGCAAAAGTTACGGGAGCTTCCGTGTCCGTCCTGGCCTAAAAACTTTTCGGAACCCGTGGAAACCCTGGCCAGCCTCCTAACCTTATTGCGAACCCAGAAGCAAAAGCTAGAGCAAAAGAGAGAGCTAAAGCTAAAAAGCTAAAAGCTATCTTTCAAGGGGGTTGAGGCCACTTCTTGGCTTTAAATTTTAAACAAACGTGAAAACTATGTAAAAAGCATCAGAAATTGCTGTGTGTGAAATGCAGAAAACCTAAAAACTATTCAAAACCAGTACCACGGTCCCAAAGACGCAACCCCTCAAACAGCCCAGAAAAAAAACAACTCAATCCAACTATAGCCCGGATGTGTTGCAATGGCAAAAAAACGGGCAGAGAAATCCCCAGGGAAGCCGAACAGGCTTTCAAAACTCTCAAAAAAACTATTGTAAGCCCATAAAGTGACCGGTTAGGTTCTAATCGCAGGAATCTACTGTCAGAATCAGAAAACGGCTGCGAGAAAAAAAACCTAGAACTAAAATACTAAGACAAAATTTGAAGTACTTCTGACAAGGTTTAGGCTTAAAATAGATTAAATGCCTTTTAAAAGACATGTGAAATGCTGGGGACATCAAAACTCGACACAAATTGGCCAAAAACCCTCCGAACTTCGTGGAAAATCGCCAAAGGCCCGCCACAGAAAACGTATCGCCTAAATCAAGGAAACCCGAGGCTAAAAATGCCGAAAATTCCGGGGGCTTTTACTTTTAACAAGATACTTAGCTTTAAAATAGCTTAACTAGGTTTCAAAAGCGTCAGAAATCCCGAAGGATTCAAAAGTTATTAAAATCGGCCAAAAACTATCCTAATGCTACAGAACAGGGTCGCCTAACCGAAACCCCAGTTTAGAAATGCCAAAAATGTCCGGAAAAATGCAAATCTCGACTCAAAACAGGCGGCTCCCAGCTCAAAAACCCCCTCAAAAGCTCCCCTGAAATAAAAGCTTTAAAATGTGTTAAGATGTACCCCTCATCGGCGACTAAAAGGCTCAACTAAAAGGCCATATCTCATTAAAAAAAAGTCTAGCTTTAAAAATAGCTTAAATGCATTTTAAAAGGCATCAGAAATAGTATTTAGAAATCGTTTTTATTTAGAAATACTAAGGCAATAAAACTCAACTCAAATCAGCCAAAAACTATCCCCATTTCGTAAAACCCGGCCCCAGAAAAGAGCTCGTCCAAATAAGCTAAACTCCCATCAGAAAAGTCAGAAAGTCCCGAAAAATGCAAATCTCGACTCAAAACAGCTCAAAAACCCGTCAAAAAGTCCCCGAGAAAAGCTTTCAAAGGTTTAAAAGGTACCCCTCGTCGGCGACGTCCTCAGTCTCGATGTCGAACTGCCAGCGCTCGAGCACGTCCTTCGTGCGAACCTCTTGGATGACGACCACCAGCTTCTTCAGCAGCCTCTTTGCCAGGAAATCTGAAAAAATGCGATGAATCGCTGCAAGAATAGGCTTTTACCTTCGACCTGCTTGAAGAGCGGCTCCAGGAACTCGAGTAGTTTCGGGTCGGCGGTGACGTAGAGGGGCAGGTTGTACTTCTTCTCCCTCTTGAACGAGTCGGCCGGGTAGATGCCGCGCTGGTACAGGATGCTGTTGATGCCGTAATCTGAAAAGAAAGGGATTTAAAAGGCGCAAAAACATAGAAAAACGTTTCTACATTGATTCTATTATTTCTACACGTAAAAACCCCAAATTTTTGGGAAAACTAAAAAATATCGACTCTTGAAACAAAAAACCAAAATTGGGGCCTAGTTTGCAAAGTTTTTTCAGTTTTCTCGCGTAAAATCAAGCCCAAATTTAATCAAAAACACTATCAAAACCGTGCTATCACATTATTAGGCATATTTGAACATGTAGGACCCCCGATAATGCCAAAGTACCGACATTTTTCAGAAAGAGGCCGAGAGAAACCCAAAATAGCGCCAAAAAACTCACTAAAGAACTCCTGTACCAGGGTCGCCGAGCCCTTCAGCGAGATCGTGCCGCGTGTCTTCGTGTCCGTCATTTTGTAGCTACCCCTGGAAATGAATAATTGCAACGGTTCAGAGCCGGAAAAAAAGAAGAAAGAAGACACCATAAAGATTAGATTGCATTAATACTGAACAATTCTAGCCTTCGGAATCGAGAAAAGAAACAAAAGCGGCATCCTGCAAATAAAAACGGGGCGAAAAAAGGCAGGAAAAGCCTGAAGAAAACCTAAAAAACGATGCCAAACCAGAAAATCCTTTCATAAGATAAAATTAAAAGCTCTCAAAGAATTAATGGCCAAAAGCCGCGCGAAGCTATTGAGGTTAGGAGGGGAGGGCATGGCATCTAAGCTGGTCGCCAAGTCCAAGCTAACCAAGCCTAGACGCAGCCCCAACGAGGTCTAGGCCAAGCCTAAGCTCAGCTAAATCGAAACCTAAACTGGTCGCCAAGTCTGCGCTAACGAAGCCAAGGGCAGCCGACGCCAAGCGAGGTGCAGGCCAAGCCTAAGCTAGGCCTAGACAAGCCTAAATCAAGCCAAAACGAAACCCAAGCCAAGTAAGCTGATAAAATACCTACGCTAAGTTCATACAAGATCTAAGCCAAACCCAAACCTAAGCATACGCCTATTCAAGCCATAACACCAAATTCGTAGTAAAAAATTAATGAACATCTGGGTAAAAGTCGCCCATGGCGCTTCAAAGTCAATAGCCTTACAAAAATTGAACGCAAAAGAAGCAACAATACGTGGAAACGCTACAAAATAACTACGTCAACCCAGAAAATCGGTCTGCGTGAGAGAATAAAAAGCAATTAGTGAATTTCAGTGTAAAAAAAGCTCAGAAAGCTCCTCAAAATCATTCGCTTTCCAAGGATCAGATAAAAAAACAAATCAATTGAAGGAAAAGACAGGTAAAATCCTGCTTGTAGCGCCTAAAAGTTTCCAAGATTGGATATAAACTATCCAACCCGAGGCAAAGCCATCAAATCAACAACTATAGGAGAAAATGATGAATGTATGGATTGACACGGTGATTCACAAACAACAGCATTCCAAAAAGCCGACATAAAAGAAGCCAAAAGACTGAGGAAAGCCAAAAAAAAATGGCGATGCTAAACTAGACAATGCTTTCAAGAGATAGACTGAGATCGCTTATTCATTAGAGATGAATTCGAGAAAGTGATATCAAAAGTAAGCGATTCCGTGCTAAACATAGGCTCACAGAAAGCGCTTCAAAATTCTCTAGCTTTCCCATGATCGGATAAAAAGTGGAGGAAAAGCTGTCAAACCAATAGATCAAATCAGAAATGCCTTGAATTTAATTGAATTATAACAGAAAAGCAATTAGCCATCTTCAAAGACTTTACAAGTCTCGCAAGTAACCACAAAATACCACGACTCGCTCGGAGTGATAGATCAGAAGCAACCAATCAGTTTCCATGTCAAAAACGGCACACGAAGCCCTCAGAAATCGCAAAAACCACTCAGCATCGAAGAAAAGATATTAGTTAAATGATAAAACTAAAGATAAAAGCAACGACTAAATAAATCAAAACGCAAGGACAGATAGAAAGGAAAAGGACCAGCTGACGCGCTGCAAACTCAATAGACTTTGAAAGAAAGAAAAAATATCGGAAAAAATCGGCTCAGAAAATAATTCAATTCGAGGAAACCAGGCCAAAAATGCACCTCCCGATTTCCGAAAATTGGTCCACGCTATAGAGTCGGTCAGGTTTCTAATTCGCGACCCCGGATGGGCCCTCGGGGTACGTCGGACAGCACAATGCACTAAAGCGAGGGTTATTTCCATGCTAATGCGAGAAAATGGCGGGGAAAACTATAATTTATCGATTTTCTCAAAATTCGGAGGTAAATCAGAGGATCGAAAACAAAACAATCCATTTCCGGGTCAAAAAACCTCGAGAAGCGCTTCAAAAATCGGCTAAGAATCTACGCAGATCGAGGAAACAAGAAGAACTAATTTGTTAAACCGGAAATTCTTTTAGATTTTTAGAAAGAATTTTAGAAAAAAAAAGAAATTAATCAATTTCCGGGTTAAACAAGCTGAGAACGCTTCAAAAATTAATCTCGATCAACAAATCGGGCAAAATATCCTCAAATCGTGGAAAGGAGTTGAAGCTATGAGATTAAACCACAATTCCGTAAATTGTAAGCTGAAGAAATGAAACCAGAAATTCGCTAAATTAACAGGGTTTAAACAAGCAAAGCAATTCATAAATTCGCAAATACCGCCGCCTTCAGCTTCCCAAAAATTGTAGCTTTTTTACGAAAATGGAAACAAAACGATGAGAATTTTTCAACCTCAAAAGCAAGGCACTTTCTAAAGATGCAGCAACAATCTTAAAAATAACAAATTTCCACAAAAATACCCAATTTTTGGAGGTAAACTGGCATCAACAGCACGACAAATTTACACCAAATTTGCATCGTATAAACCATTTATTAGACCAAGCAATCAATATACAAAACTATACAATAAATGACGATCTATCTAGATTATTAGGGTTTTCAGCTTCAATTGATCCGGCCATGTCGATACTTCTCGAATCCTCTCAATTCCTTTTCCTTTCAGTTCATCTTGACGCGTAGACAATTGAACGTGCCGATGACGAGCCCCATCGAGGCGAACGTCATCACCGAGGCCAGTGTCGTTGCCAGCGTCTGAAATTTAAAGATGATTTGGTGTTTTACTTTACCGGGGGACCAAATTTTTCCCCACTAATTCCGTACGGCTCTTCTATACCGCAATATCCCTATTTTTTATCGCATTTTATAGTTTTTCGATCCAAAAAACCCATAAAAACAGACAGGAACATTCGAATTCGCCGACTTTTGGGCAAAATGTATGAAAAATGACCAAAACGTCTGAATTTTCAATTAAATTTTTGTATAACTTTCTAGTATCAAAAACTACTAATACTATCAAAATACATTGTATATTTTCGACTACAATCCCCCCCCCCCCGCGCTAACAGACCAGTACCGATAATTTTCTTTGGCGAAAAAAATCGGTTCGAAAAACATTATCAAAAATTGTTTGGAAAAAAAGTTAGCTATGGCCCAAATGCGACAACTGCTGATAAAGTTGGCTTTTTAAAGGCACAGTTTTGACATGTAATGGCTTTCTCGTAGCCCAACGGCAACCGTTTTTTGAAAACCATTTGGGAAAACGTAGCCTGGATGACGTTTGAGCCGATGATATTGCGTTTTCTGAAAAATCGCGCCCTTTGATTCTAAATCTAAAAACTAAAAAACTGCGCAAAAAAATTAGCAGCATTTCGAAAACTTGCGTTTCCTGAAAAATAACGCTGCTTGCTCCTAAAAAATAGAAACTAGAAAATTGCGCAAAATTGAGTAGAATTTCGAAAATCTGAGAAAACTTAGCAGCGCGCCACTTTGAGAGCTTTCTTTTGGTACAGAAATCATCAAAAAAACAAGCACTTTCCCGAGCTGCTAGGAGGCAATCCTTTTTAAACACCCCGAATATACGAAATCTCAAAATTTAGGTTTTTCTCGTAGCAAAAAGGCATTAGTTTCAGAAAACAATTTAGGTATCGATCGACACCGAGCTGATCAAAACCACCAAAACGATACCTTAACGAAGATGGGCTTGACTTGGCGATGACCGTGTACGTAGCTCACGTAGACGCCGAGCGGGATGCCGAAGAAGAGGCCGGCCTTCGTCATCCGCTTCACGCTATCCCTAAAGGAAAACGCGTAAATTTCAAATAGAACACTCACTTGAATTCGGGCATACACGAGCCGAGCTCGCGCTGCGCCTCGGCATACTCCTTCAGCGAATAGTTGTTGTTACGCGCGTCCGACATCGCGCATATCTGGAAAAGGTGATTTTTTGCTAGCAAAATTCAAAATTTGGATAAAAAGAAAGAAAGAACAGCGAATGTTCCTCTCGCTCGATAAAATTCTACCAATGAGCAAAAATACAGCCGAAAGAAACTACCGAAAATGCAGAAACGCAAACTTTTGTTGGAAATTCGAAAATTTGGATAAAAAGAAAGCAACGATAGATTTTTGCGCTGAAAAAACTCGATAAATTAGACAAAAATACCCTCGTTATTTACGAAATTAGACGGGTTTCCTTCATTTTTCACTGGATTTCTTTAAAAACTAAGCCCCTACGTTACACCGGGAAAGCTCGGCGGAAAAACTAGCTTCACACTAGCTAGCTAAATTCTCCACAACAACTCTAGAAACGTTCGCAGCTGCTCGGGTTAGCCTAAAATCTCTAGATCTTTAGAAATTTTTTCTTTAGATCCTCTTGCCTTAGAAAACCGAGGAAAACTTTATGTTGACGTTGCGTTGTCGCCTCTTTTGCTAGCCGAAAGAACTATAACGACTCTAGAAACGATTTCCCAGTTCTTCAAGCCTGCTAAAATATGTATAAAACCGTCAAAATGTTCTTTTGGATTGCTTTGTTAGCCAAAACCCCCCACAAACAGAGCAGATACACCCCCTTCTCCGCGTAACCGATTGACCGAGCCCCCCCTTGCTGGTACCGCGACACTTGCGCCGCGGACACTTGCGCCGCGACACTTGCGCCGCGACACTTGCGCCGGCGACACTTGCGCCGCGACACATGCGCCGCGACACTTGCGCCCGACACTTGCGCCGCGTCACTTGCGCCGCGACACTTGCGCCTGACATTTGCGCCGCGACACTTGCGCCCGACACTTGCGCCGCGTCACTTGCGCCGCGACACTTGCGCCTGACATTTGCGCCGCGACACTTGCGCCGCGATACCGAGTTTCAGCTACTTGAAGATGCAATTTTTCGCGCGGAGTATTCTGGTTAAAGAAACGATAGAAAGATGTTTTTGCGCTAGGAGTCACTCGATTTGGAGGGAAGGTAATTGCTACTTCTTCCGCTCTGCGACTAGAAAAAGGCTTCGTGCCACCCGGGGCCTAGTCGCTTCGGATGGGTGCGAGCTCGTACAGGGTTTCGAGATCGGGGCGCCCGAGGCGCGCGTAGCGGCCAGGCGCCCCGATTTCGAAAGAGTGGAGCGGCAGCCCATCCGAAGCGACGGCCCACCTTGCCTGACGCCTTTAGGAACGCTCCGAATTGGCGTTACGACTTTCTGTCAGCTTTTAAAGCAAAATACAGTAATTACATACAAAATTCGCGCGAAATACCAAATTCACTACAGTTTAAATCCATATACGATCCGCGGCGCAAGTGTCGGGCGCAAGTGTCGCGGCGCATGTGTCGCGGCGCAAGTGTCGCGGCGCAAGTGTCGCGGCGCAAGTGGCGGCGGCGCAAGTGTCGGGGAGCCCCCTTGCTAGCTACAAGCTCTATAAAAACCCTTCTCAAACGTTTCTTTGGTTTATCCTGCTAGCCAAAAGGCCATAAAAGCTTCACACCCGTCGTTCTAACCTTTCTTGCTACCTAAAATATCTATAAAAGCCTTACAAACTTTCTTTAGATTCTTGCTAGTTACAAAAGTTCAAAAACACGTTCCGAACGGCGTTTGAGCTTCGCTTGTTATCTGAAAGATCTATAAAACCTACACAAACTATTTCCCTAAAATCGCTATAAAAACCGTACAAACGTTTCCTTAGATTGTCTTGCCAGCTAGAAGCCCAGAAAAAAAGTTACCAACGGCGTTTTAGCCGCTTCAGCTAGCTGAAAGCTCTAGAAAAACTCTAGAATCGATTTCCCAGCCGTGTTAATAAAAACTACAAAAACGCTCAGGCGCTACAAAAACCTCCACAAACGTTTTTCTGATTCTTTCGCTAGCTGCCAGCCCACAAAAGCTTCAGAAACAGCGTTCAAGCCCTTCTTGCTACCTAAAATCGCTATAAAAACCCTACAAGCATTCCATTAGATTCTTGCTAGTTACAAAAGTAAAAAAAAAACGTTCCAACGGCGTTTTCGCTTCGCTTGATATCTGAAAAATCTATAAAACCTCCACAAACGATTTCCCCAGCTGCACGAGCATGCTAAAATCTCTATAAAACGTTACAAACGTTTCTTTCGATTGTCTTGCCAGCCAGAAGCCCAGTAAACACGTTCCCAACAGCGCTTTAGCCTCTTCTGTTAGCTGAAAGCTCCAGAAATACTCTAGAAGCGAATTCCCAGCCGTGATAGATGCGCTATAAAAACTCTAAAAATGTTTCTTTAGATCCCTTTGCTAGATAAAAGCTATAGAAAAACCTACAACCAATTTTCCAGCTCATCGTGCTTGCGAAAATCTCTATAACCACCGGTAGCAACATTTTTCCAGATTCTCTAGCCAGTTTAAAGTCTAGAAAAACTTTACAAACGGTTTCCCCCGCTTTTCGTGCTAGCCGAAAGCTATTTAAAACCTCCACAAAGATTTCCCTGCGTTCGCCCGTACTAAAATCTTTATTAACCCCGTTACAACCGTTTTCTAGTTTATCTTGCCAGTTTAAGCTCCAGCATCGTTACCAACGGCTTTCGCGTGTTACCTAAAAGATCTATAATACTTTGGCAACGATTTCCGGGCTTCTACTGGCAGCTAAATGCTCTATAAAAACCTTACAAACGGCTTCTTAGCCTATCTTACTAGCTAAATCCGCTATAAAAACTCTACACACGAACTTCCAGCTCCTCGTGCCTGCTAAAATCTCTATAAAAACCTTACAAACGTTTCCTTAGATTCTCTCGCCAGTCAACAGTCTAGGAAAACGTTACAAACGGCGTTTTATCCTCTTCGGCTAGCTCTAAGCTCCAGAAAAACTCTAGAAACGATTTCCCAGCCGTGCTAAATGCGCTATAAAAACCTCCACAAACGTTTTGGATTCTTTCGCTAGCTGCCAGCCCCCAAAGGCTTCAGAAACAGCGTTCAAGCCTCTCTTGCTACCTAAAATCGCTATAAAAACCCTAGAAGCATTCCTTTAGATTATTGCTAGTCACAAAAGTCCAAGAAACCGTTACCAACAGCGTTTTAGCCTCTTCTGCTAGCTAAAAGCTCTAGAAAAACCTTTGAAACGATTTCTCAGCTGCTCGCGTTAGCTAAATGGGCTATAAAAACTCTAAAAGGGCGCTATTGCGGTTTGCTGGCCCCACTTATATCGGGCCAAAACCGAATCTATCCGGGCTAGTTTTTTGCGCTGATTACGAAAAACATCATCCCGAATCGCGAAAGTTTTGTTTTACAGAAAAAAACTACATTTCATTTTAGGGTATATGTCGGCTACGCGGGGGAAAATTTTACGCGGGGGGGGACGGACTGTTGGGGCCGAGCTAACTATTTTTTTGCGTTTCTTTTTGCTACAAACAAAACTCTTAGTATATTTTTCGACGCTCTGTCGAATGGCACTAAAGAAATTTTGTAAAAATGTCGAAAATGTCGAAAACTTGATTTTCTTCTATGTCCTCCATGAAAACAACGTTTAATACTTGTTTTTGTTATAACTATTTTATATTACATTATTTTGAGCTAAAATTAAAACCCTTAGTATATTTTGGATGCTCTATCGAATGGCATCTTTAAAATGTCGAAAAAATAGCGCGAATGTCAAAAAAAAGCCGCTCAAACCGATTTTCAAAGCTTATTTTTGTATTTGCCATAACTTTTTTATATTACACTAATTTGAGCTAAAACAAAAACTCTTAGTATATTTTTCGGTGCTCTATCGAATGCCGTTGAAAAAATTCCGAGAAAATAACGAGAACATCCGAATAGGCCTGCCTGTCCCGTCCCCCCCGCGTAAAATTTCCCCCCCCCCCCCCCCCCCGCGTAGCCGACATATACCCATTTTAGGTTTGGGTTTGCACGGGGTAAACTAGGTTTTTGAATTGAGAGGCCTGTAGACTGGTGGAACAACTATTTCCAAGAATATTAGTTCATTGCACCCGTTTTTACCTAAAACTAAGGCTTCGTGCCACCCCGGGGCCTAGTCGCTTCGGATGGGTGCGAGCTCGTACAGGGTTTCGAAATCGGGGCGCCCGAGGCACGCGCAGCGGCCAGGCGCCCCGATTTCGGAAGAGTGGAGCGGCAGCCCATCCGAAGCGACGGCCCGCCTTGCCTGACAACGGTACAAACCTACTTCTGCGCGGGAAATTAGTTTCTGGGCATTATTTATCGACTTTATCACACAAACTGCCTTTTGGGCGAATGCCGTGAACCGGAATAAATTGACATAAAAACGTATATATGTATCGTTAAATTTTGCTAACGCACATTTTTACGGACTGCGGTAGTGTTTTTCGTAATCAGCGCAAAAAACTAGCCCGGATAGATTCGGTTTTGGCCCGATATAAGTGGGGCCAGCAAACCGCAATAGCGCCAAAAACTTTACAAATGGCGTTGAGCTATTGCTATCGAAAAGGTCTAAAAAAAAAGCTCTCACTTTCTCAGTTCCTGGTGCTAGCTAAAAGTGATAAATTTCTCCATGATGCCAATAAATTAATCCTCCGCATATTCCAATCAACTAGCCCACAGCACGCTCTATAAAAACTCTGGAAACAATTTGCCAGCTTCTCGTTCCAGCCAAAAACGGTAAATTGCTCCATAAAGTCAGTTAGTTGCTAATAAAATTAAATCTCTCGTTTTTCCAAGAAACCCTTGGGGCTGAAAACAATCCTCTGCCAATTCCACCAAACTAACTAGCTAAACGCTCTATAAGAACTTAAGAAAAGATTTGCCAGCCTCTCGTTCCAGCTAAAAGCGATAAATTGCTCCATAAAGTCAGTTAGTTGCCAATAAAAATAAAGCTCTCGTTTTTCCAAGAAACTATTGGTGTTGAAACCATCATCCTCGGCCACTTCCAAACAATTCCACCGGTGGGTTGCCTTTTATTTCAACGGGCCATTATGCCGGCGCGCCCGTTCACATTTTGCATGTCGAAATTCGTACACAGAAAGATGGAGATTCAGGCAAAGAGAGCGCCGGAGGAGAAGACAATGTCATAGTCAGTCAGTCATACAGGGGAAAGCGAACGGGATGAACAGACAGACAAACACACACGCACAAACATACCAACAGACAAATCACAAGAGGAGGAGGTGGTGGAGATGATGAGCGCGAGAAGCGGAAGAAGATCAAGCCGGGGAAGGAGGGCATCATCAGCTAGTAAATATACAGTCATCATCAATCAAATAAATAACGCTGTTGAGCGCCGGCAGCAGTGTGGACATACCGGACAATCTGAAAACACCAAAAAAAACAATCGCTTTGCCCAGATTTTTTTATTAGACCGAAAATGAGGCGACCGACAATACTAGATTTGGGGCATTCAGAAAGCTGGGGGTTATACTAGAGACCACAGAAGAGATCAACTAGGGGAAAGATGGGCCGCCAAATGAATAGACAATCAACACATGGATACAGAACAGCGAGAGAGATCATCAACACGGCGAATCGAATAGGCGGGTACGCGGCCGGAAACGAGTAGTCGAGGGCGGGGCGATGGGCGTCGACACGGGCCCCAGGATGCTCTTGTCCATCGGCGGCGTCTCGGTCAGCCTGAAAACGGGGGTTCTCTTGGTAAAACGTAAAACACTCTTGGTAAAACGTAAAAGATTAAAAAAAAACTAATTATCCGGAGAATGTATTTTGAAACCCGACCGTCCAGAAAAACAATTTTAAAAATACAAAACAGCGATTTTCGATAAAATATGGCCGTTTTTGACGAAAATTTCGAATTCATAAGTTTTTAGAAAGTTTTCCAGAGAAATGCGGTTAAATTTAATTAAAAAACGCTCCCTTTGATGAAAAAGGGAGCAAAATTCCAGATAAAAATAATTATCAAAAACACAATTTTAGCCAAAGAATCCGGAAAAATTAATTTCGAAAACCCAACTTCCAGAAGAATTATTTTCGGAAAAACGATGCAAAATATTTCTATTTTTTCGGGATTAGGCGGCCCAAAGGAATCTTTAGATCGTTAAAAAAAAGCAAAAGCCTTCCTCACCTAGCCATCTCGATCCTCGAATCCATCGTGCCGCAAAAGTTGCGCGGGGCCGTCGACTGGCTCAACAGGTCCTGCCACTCCTTTTGCGGCTTCTTCAGCAGCACCGTCACCACCTCGACGTGTAGCCGTACCGTCTCTTGGGCGCCGATCAGCTCCGCCCCGCTCGGCATGTACTTCATGATAGACGGGGCCACGCAACGGGCAATGTTCTCGACGGGCATTTTGTTCACCTCGGAGCACGCGCCTGAAAAAGGGAAATTTTTGAACGTCTTCTTTAGCGTTTAAAATAAATTTAAAAAGTTATTTTAAATAAATAAACTTTCAGTTGGAAAAAAAAATCGTATTTTTAGTGTTTTTCGCTCAAAATCGTATTTTTAGGCTAAAAACAATTTTCAATAAATTTATGCTTTTTTTAATTCACGTATCAAAAAATGACGGAATTCCGGTGCAAAAACCTTGCCAAACCCTATTTAGCGGGCTAAAAAATCCAAAAAAACGTACCGACGCGCTGCCAATGGAGGCAGAGATAGGCCAGCGTGTCGCGATGCGGCTGCGGCAACCCCTTGATGTACTTGTTGAGGAGGTCGTCGTCCTTCTTCTGCACGGCGTCCACGAATTCGGCGATCGACGTGCGCGGGATCAGCGAGTCGTTCAGGTTGCGCAGGAAACCCTTGATCGTGTCGGCGATCACCTCCGGGTCGTGCATGTCCATCTTGGGGATGGCGCGTGTGGAGATGAGCTCATTGAGGAGACGCTTGCTGAGACCTTGGAGGGCGGGGATCCGGTAGAGACCCTCGTGGGAGAGGCAGCCCCGTCGCTCGAGTGCCACGACGCAGTGGATGATCGGGTAGGGGATCATTGGAGAGGTGGCCGGGCAATAGTCGGTCAGCACGATGCCTAAAAAATTACAAAATATGCTCGAAACAAAGCGGAAACGCGCAAAGACAATAAGACAAAAAGCTACCTTGTCCCTTATTTCTTGTCGGCGTCTTCGGCGTGCGCGGGACACAGGGGATCGGAAGACGAGCCTTGCAGGACGAGTGGCACAGCTGATGACAATCTTGACATTTGAACGAGGCCCGTCCCCCAAAATGGATCGCCCCGTTGCAGACGTCGCACGACTTGACGCGCACGTAGGCGCTGAACGGCACGAAGGTGTGCGGACGCTCGGCGATCGGGCGGCCTCCGGTCCAGGCCGGGCCCACGGCACGGCGAATGTCTGTACTGCTCGAGGCCATCGTCGGTGTCAGCACCTGGAAAAGAAGAAGATGGATCTTTTGCAGTATCGCGGGTTTTACGTCACTTTTTGCTATTCCTCTAGACGCAAAAACTTTACAAATTTCGCTTCAAAAACACCGAAAATATAGATTTTCGCCAAAAATTCAATTTTTTGAAGATTTACAGGTTTTCGAAATATTTTCCACTTTAAATCTTCTTCCAAATGCCAATTGTCAGGCAAAGTTTTTACCAATCCCGCGACGCAATGTCGCCTCGAAAGAAAACCCACGACGACTAAGATTCCAATTTTTTTTTCGTCTTTCCCATCGAAAAAAGGCTTTTTACCTTTTTAAAATTCGGCACATCCCGGAGCAGATCGTCGGCGCTGTAGCTGCGGTTGAGGCTGACGCGATGCTTGACGCTGGTCGTCGCACGAGCAGCTACCGGTGGCGGGTGAGCGGCTTGGAGGAACGATCGTTTCTTGGGCAGCTCTCCTTCCGGGCGTTCCTCCAGGGCTGCCGTCGACTTGCTGTGGCTCCTCTTTCCGGGCCGCGTGTATGCCGAGCGAGACCGGCGCCTCTCAACGTCAGAACCGGCCAGGGCCCCGGATCGACGGTAGACGCGTGTCGTCGTCCTGGTAGTCTGAAAAAAAAGAATAATTAAGGAACTTTTGAAGCACGGCAAGATTTGGGCCGATCGGCCAGTTTGAAAACGCGTTTTCGGTGTTTATGGCGCTAAACTGTTAGCAAAGAGTGACCAAATCTTTCCGAGTAATTCGCTACGGCGCTATAACGACATACAAACCCTTTTCACAGGATTTTTAGAGTTAAAACCCCTCAAAACCTCAAAATTTTTCAAATTGTGACCTGAAATGCATGAAAATCATCAAAAAAAAGCTCAACATCGTAAGATTTGCTCGTTAGATGCTAAGCTCAACACTAAAAAACAAAAAGTTTTGGCTACAAAACCCGTTTTGAAAATCCCCGGCTCGTTTTTAGCTCGCGTAGGCGACTTTTTGCCCACAGTTTTGTAATTTAGGTTCGTTTTGGCAGGTTTTCTGGAATAAACGCCTGAAATTCGTACAAAAAGACTTGATTTCAAACCCAAAAAGCGCAGAAACGAAGATACCTGCATGTGCTCAATGACATCTTCGTCGTCATCGGATCCGCGCGTGTAGTCGAGACTGCCCTCCGAGCGGCCGCCATTCAGCGAGTCCTCGGAGCTGTGGTCGGTGAGCGGGTTCTTCTTCAGCCGCTTGCTGTGCGTGCGCTGGATTTGGCGGTCGTCGTTGAGGAAGGCGAGCTGTTGCCGATCCGTCGACGACAGCTCGGGCAGCTGCTTGCGCACTATGCCCTGAAAAAAAAACACATTTGAAAAGTGTGACACCTCGAAAAGCTCGGAAAATCCCAAAATTTTAGGCCAAAAAATGCCAAAAAGTTGGGTGGTTGCGTTTTTACTAGCCTAAGCGTAGAAACATTGCTGATCTTTATAAAAAACGCCACCCTAACGCCGGATGGAACAAAACGAAACGAAAAAACCAAAACTTTTGAAATTTTTTTGCCAAAAATGCCAAATTTTGCCAAGTTTTTGAAATCGTTTCCCACCTAGAATACAGCAACTTTTACAAAAAAAGGAAACCCATTGAAATCCTTGCTCTTAATTACTAGAAATTTCGCGATTTTCAAGCACAATTCGGCTTCCTCGATTCTGCGAAAACGCCCGTCAAAACAGTGCAAAAGGGCAGATTTTCTCGGATAAGCCAGAAAAACGAGTAAACACTTCATCGGTCTTTTTTGGCCTAAATTTGCAAAAGCGAAAATTATTAGAGCCACTAGACGGTGATTTCAGGCGGTAGATGAAAACTGGCGCCAGACACACCTGGACGAGCTTGAATTTCGCCTCCAGGTCCTTCAGGTCCAACTTGAGCGCGTTGCTCTCCGAAAGCTGCGCAGCGAGTTGCGCGCGGGCATCCTTCAGCTCCGCTTCAAGCTTCCGAATCCTCTCGTCCTTGGCGAAGGCGGCATCCTCGTGTTGTCGGCATTTGTCGTCCAAGTCGTTGGCGAGCTGGTCGGCATGCTTCCACTTTTGTTGATACCGCTCGACGACGCCGAGCAGGTGGACGGCATCGTATTCGAATTGATTGGCGAATAGTTGATTCTTGTATTGGTTGAAGCCGTAGAGGTCGCCGAGCGCCTCGCGCGTCATGTCGCTGCAAACCGACGAGTCCATCGACTGAAAAATGGGCTTTAGAAGGTTGTTCGACCCAAATGAGGACAGAGAACGTGAGAAAGCAAGAAAAAAAGAAGGGCATAGCTTTCTGCAAGCGTTTCTAAGGGTTGAAATGAAGCTGGCGGCGACTGGAAAGCTAGAAAGAGCTGAAAAGCTTATAAAAAAAAACAGAAAAAGCAACTCATCACCCCCTTCAAAACTATAGGAAAAGCGGAAACTAGCTTTTCAACAAACACTCGAATCCTATAGCTCTTTTCTAAGCTATTTTCTTTTGAAAATGCATGTCACCCGTGAAAAAAAGCACCAGGGGAACAAAATCAGTTTTCAGCACTCGAAGGCCATGGAAAACACATAAAATTAAATGAGGCTGCGTGGGAACGATGCGTGGAACAAAATTTGAGCAATTTTCGTTGCAAATACGCTTAACGGACCTCAAAAAAAGTTCTACAAGACGCGCTAGACCGATTTAAACGAACCAACGAAGAAAGAGACAATCCTAGGACCACTTTTAAGCCAATTTCTTACGAAATGCGTATTGTTCTTACGAAGAAGCTCAAAAACAGTGCTTCAGCGCTAGAACAACACAGAAAACCTAATAAAAACTAAATGAGACTCTACCGACGAAAGATGAAACCCTAAAAATACGTTCCAAGCAGTTTCCTCCAAAATACGCCTAGTATAAATAAAACAAAGGCTTCAAAAACGGAGGACATATAATTTTTGACTTCAAACACAGGTATTGACAGTTCCCAGGGCAAAATCCCCATCGAAACCCCGAAACCAGGCGTAAACACATAAAATAAGCAGCTAGAACCAACTTTCCAGCAATTGGCACGAGCCCGATCAGAAACATGATATTTTGAAAGATACTAAAAGTAATTTAAAAGGTTTTTTAAAACTGTGGATGGGTTGGAAAAAGGGGGGTGGAATAAATTAGAAGGCTTGGGGTGGAGAGGGGCCGTTTGAATCGGGGGAGCTGAGGGCGGATCTGTGCCGTCCTTTGGACGCACACGGAAATATGCACCTTTTCCCCCCGCAACTTACCGGCAATTGCGCACAAAAGAAAAATCGACAAACCTGCACGACTGCGCGAATTTTTGAAATGAAATATTTTATCTCTTCATGCTCTGTGGTTGCAAATTATGGTATGTAAATGTAGTTCTGGGGCGGAAAATTGCGCACTACACAGAAATCGAGAAACATCGCATCTTTTTTAGGCAAATTTTCTTGTCGCCCGACGACTCGCCTGGAAATATTTTCAGAAGATGCTAGTATATTTTCGACCAATGCCTGAAAAGATCTAGGCGTTTACTGGGGTATAACTAGCTGTTTCATCCGATAATTTTTGTTCCAAAAGTATTTGCTTCGCCGCATCAAAATTATTTTTGACAACAGCTTGTTATCAGTTTCCGTTTTTTTGTCCAAAAGGGTAATAACCTCGCAACCTGACAATACGTTTCTTTTACCTTTTTTTGGCCATCGGTCACGCTATTCTACGGTTTTTTTGGCGCATAGATAAATAGTAACAGAAACCAAAAAAGCGTGGCAAGTATGAATCCGAACTCTCCGGTGTCGCAATTCTCACAAGTTTTATCCCGCAAAAAAAACTTTATTTATCTAAACACAATAAATCCGGGTAAAGGCAGACAAACAACGCCGCTTAGGGCCATAGACACAAATAATTAAATGCGGGCTTCCTTTTCGTTAGGTTGGGCGTGGATTAGGCGCTTCTCATTCATTCTTGCTGCTCCTGTTTCGTGGCCGACATCTGGAAAAGGGAACATTTTAGGAAATTTCCTCCCCATATACCGTCGTCTTCTCCAAATAGGGCTGCACGTATTTTTGGTACTTGTCGCGCAGTTTGGCGGTAGACTAAATGAAAATCTTCAGTTTTCGAGGCCGCAAATTCACCTGTGTATTCTTGAAGCCGAACGCCTTGCCGATGGCCGGCCAGTTGACCTTCTTGGCCTTGATCGCCCAGTTCGCCTCCGGGTCGGCGTATTTCGTGACCATCTAAAGGAAAAACGGTTCTATACCGGTAACGGGGTCCTTAAAAAAAATAAGGGTCCTTAAAAAAAAATAAGGGTCCTTAATAAAAATAAGGGTCCTTAATAAAAATAAGGGTCCTTAGAATTTCAGCTTAAGGACCCCTGTCCCGACAGGGGTCCTTAAAATAGATGCTATTTTTAAGGACCCCGATTCCGGCAACTTCCGAAAATACAGTATTTGCGCCGTTTTCGCGGAGACGCGGATTCGCGACAGATTGTCCTTTGTTTCGCATTTTGAATTACACCCAGTTTGTGCCTAAAAATAAGGCTTCGTGCCACCTGGGGCCTAGTCGCTTCGGATGGGTGCGAGCACGTACAGGGTTTCGAAATGGGGGCGCCAAGGCCGGCGAAGCGGCCGGGGGCGCCCCCCATTTCGGAAGAGTGGAGCGGCAGCCCATCCGAAGCGACGGCCCACCTTGCCTGAGACACCCTAAGCCTCGAATTGTCCCTGGCTAAAAAACCTGGCACGTCAGATTGCGTGGAAGTTTCTGTGGGGATGAGCACGATTTGAGGCTTATGGCGCGTCAGGCAAGGCGGGCCGTCGCTTCGGATGGGCTGCCGCTCCACTCTTTCGAAATCGGAGCGCCTGGCCGCTGCGCGCGCCTCGGGCGCCCCGATTTCGAAACCCTGTACGAGCTCGCGCCCATCCGAAGCGACTAGGCCCCGGGGTGGCACGAAGCCTTATTTTTAGGCACAAACTGTGTGTAAGAAAGCGGCGTAATGTAAATGGCTAAACGAGGGACAATCTGCTCAAAATCGGTGAAAATACTGTAATTTCGGGAGATGCCGGAATCGGGGTCCTTAAAAATAGCATCTATTTTAAGGACCCCTGTCGGGACAGGGGTCCTTAAGCTGAAATTCTAAGGACCCTTATTTTTTTAAGGACCCTTATTTTTTTTAAGGACCCTTATTTTTATTAAGGACCCTTATTTTTTTTAAGGACCCTTATTTTTTTTAAGGACCCCGTTACCGGTATAGAGCCGGAAAAACTTCATTTTGTCCCGAGATAAAGTACAAACAGTGTGAAGGCGGTACAGATCGATGTAGATCTTCTCGATGATGACAATGTCCAGATCGATACCCTAAAAACAAGACTTTTAACAGGTTTTAAAGCGAAACTTGCCTGAAGGCGCCAGAAATTGGCAGTTTTTCGAGGAAGGCAATCTTCTCGCCAATCGACGCCCCGATCTCGTTGAGCTTTTGGGCGCGCGGCGTGGTCTCGAACGTCGACCCATTGATCGCAAATGTTAGCACGAAATTCTGAAAGAAACCAGCGTTTTCGTGGTATTTCAAACGCGAAAAAGGCGAATAAAGGATAGAAAACGGACCGATGGGGGCACAATCTTCACCACACCATACTTCTCGGCTTCCGGCTTGATTTTGGCCACGTATCTGCAAGAGAACAATTAATTACGCCCTTTTGGGAAGACTAGATCATCTAATATTTGCGAAAGCACATGCAGCCCTGGTTTTTGGCGCTGTTTTTGGATCTGCGCTTTCCAACGTGTAAATTGTCTTCCTTTCAGCGCAAACGCGCGAGTTCCCGCGAGAAACTGAGGCCCGAAATGAGGAATTTCACGTTCATAGCGCGATTTTTAACTTCATTCTTGGCGCTGATTTTGGATTTGCGCCTTAAAACCTGCTAATTGCATTTTGTCAGGGCAACCGCGGACGCGAAAAACTAGGCCCAAAACGAGGAATTTCACGTTTATAGCGCGGTTTTCAACCTAGATCTTCAAAAATGGAGGGAAAACGAACGCGATCGGATCGGTGAACTCCTCGGCGGTGGGCCGGTAGATGGGCGCGAGCGGGGGACGCACGAAATCCGTGTAGTACTTCTCCAACTTGTCCATTTTGGCCTTCAGGTCCAACTTGAGCGCGTTGCTCTCCGAAAGCTGCGCAGCGAGTTGCGCGCGGGCATCCTTCAGCTCCGCTTCAAGCTTCCGAATCCTCTCGTCCTTGGCGAAGGCGGCATCCTCGTGTTGTCGGCATTTGTCGTCCAAGTCGTTGGCGAGCTGGTCGGCGTGCTTCCACTTTTGTTGATATCGCTCGACGACGCCGAGCAGGTGGACGGCATCGTATTCGAATTGATTGGCGAATAGTTGATTCTTGTATTGGTTGAAGCCGTAGAGGTCGCCGAGCGCCTCGCGCGTCATGTCGCTGCACAGCGACGAGTCCATCGACTGAAAAACGGGCTTTAGAAGGTTGTTCGACCCAAATGAGGACAGAGAACGTGAGAAAGCACGAAAAAAAGAAGGGCATAGCTTTCTGCGAGCATTTCTAAGGGCTGAAACGAAGCTGGCGGCAACTGGAAAGCTAGAAAGAGCTGAAAAGCTTATAAAAAAAACAGAAAAAGCAACTCATCACCCCCTTCAAAACTATAGGGAAAGCGGAAACTAGCTTTTCAACAAACACTCGAATCCTATAGCTCTTTTCTAAGCTATTTTCTTTTGAAAATGCATGTCACCCGTGAAAAAAAACACCAGGGGAACAAAATCAGTTTTCAGCAAGGCCATGGAAAACACACAAAATTAAATGATGCTGCGTGGGAACGATGCGTGGAACAAAATTTGAGCAATTTTCGTTGCAAATACGCTTAAAGGGATGCCGACGGCAGCCCTTTAACGGACCTCAAAAAAAAGTTCTACAAGACGCGCTAGGCGCAGGAACAGCGATTTTAAAAGAAACAGCGAAGAAAGATGACAAGCGAGACGGAGAGAAAAAATATCGGCATAGCTTTTTCCGAGCATTTCTAAGGGTTGAAATGAAGCTGGCGGCGTCGGGAAAGCTAGAAAGAGTTGCAAAGCTTATGAAAATCAGAAACAGCGTGGAAAAGAAAATTAGTAGCGTAAAGAAGACACCCGTTTGCGTAGCTGCCCACCGAAAATCGTAGGTGGGCAGCTACCCAAGGAAACAGTTGCGTAGCTGCCCAGCCACAATGGTAGCTGGGAAGCTACGCAGAGAAGCGGTTGCGTTGCTGCCCACCCACACGCATTATGGGCAGTTACGCAAACGGGTGTATTTTACGTTTGGGCTGGAGAGGGGCCCACACACGGGAGAGGAAAGTCGCGACATGAAGGCACGGCCCGTGCGCTAGCCGCGATGAAAAGAAAGAAAGGTTATATGAAAAGAAAGAGAATGCTCTGGAACGAATCAAGCAGCAAAAATAATTAGGCGGAAAGACCGGAAAAGGGGCTTGCAACTTTATCAGGGCAAGGCGGGTCGTCGCTTCCGATGGGCTGCCGTCCCACTCTTTCGAAAACGGGGCTCCCTAAACTTTGCCATGGGTGTCCCGTAATTCCGTATGAAGAGAGGCTAGCATTTTTTTTGAAATCCCCACCCTCGAAACACGCCGAAACCAAAATGACCTCGTCCTGTGCTATCGAAAAATTTTCCAGCAGAGCTATCCACTCAAATTCCTGAAATTTGCCACGCGACCTTCTAGGAGTTCCCACAGATTTCAGCTCACTAGATTTAACAGCGTAGGAGATACCCCTAGGTCTAGGTTTTCACGCCGCATCGCAAAACTATGGAATTCACTTCCGCCACCTCTCCTCTTAAACCCTCCGACCAGCGCGAAACGCTTTAGGAAAAGTCTTGAAACCCTTCCCCTAGCCCATAATCACTCCTAAGCAAAATCCCTATTATCCCCGTCTCTCGTCTTTAACCCATTTTTTTCCACTTTACGCTGCAAAATTTTATCATTTTTCGCCTGCGTTATATTACCCGGTTGAATAAACCATTCATATAGGAGCGCGCAGCGCCCAGGCTCCACGATTGCGAAAACCTGTACGAGCTCGCGCCCATCCGAAACGACTAGGCCCCCGGTGGCACGAAGCCTTTTTTTTAGGCTCAACTTGGGTGTAATGAACTAATCTTCTTGAAAATAGCTGTTCCACTAGTCTACAGGCCTCTCAATTCAGAAAACCTAGTTTACCCGTGCAAACCCAAACCTAAAATAAAATAGTTTTTTTTTAAGCGGGGCCAGCAAACAGCAATAGCGCCCGAAGCCTTATTTAGGCATATACTGGGTGTAATGGGTGAAACTCACGACCAGGGGCGTAGCCAGAAGAAAATTTCGGGGGGCGGGGGCCCAAAACATTTTTCCAAAAAACTCAAAACATTACCGAGAAAACAGCGCGGCAGGCAAAAAATTTTGAAAAAAGGTTTATAGCTCTACAAATGGCCGTAAAAACGTGAAAAAATAGCGCCGCAGGCAGCAAAATTTTTGAGAAAAAGAAAATCATAAGGGTCCCCCCTTATGAAATTTTCGGGTCTCGGCCGATTTCGGGGGCGGGGCCGGTATTACGCTACGTCCCTGTCCACACACACAGACAATTACACGCCAAAATTATCTAAGGTAGGATTTAACTAGATTTTATCTAGAATTTTAAAAGCGAAAAATGCTAATATAATGATTTCATCAGCAAGATTTACGAAACTGAAATTTATCTAAAAGTCGGCTTTCGTATTTTTCGATCCCAAAATCTACAAAAGTAAAAACTAAAATTTTTATAAAAACTATTACAATCCCGGAATTGGTGATTTTCGAAAATCTTAAGACGCTACGTCCCTGCTCCCGACGCAATTCTGGCCCCGTCTTCTTCGCAGCCTTTACGCCTGTCTTATTACTAGCAACATCCTTTCCGCCTAATTATTTTTTCTCCTTAATTGATTTCAGATCATCCTCTTGGTTTTCATATAGCAAAACCTAAGTTTTGATTGACACCATAAACCAGTGTTACCATAAACCAGTACCCTACTTGATGGTTGTCAAATTGAAAATTACAACCTCGATTTTAATAACAAAAAGTGTCGACCGCCGCCTAATTTTCGATTCTAAACACATTTCGGAAGTTTATGTATACGTTCCGTCACTCAAAACCATTTTTTCCGTTTTTTTCTCAAAACCTTAATCAACCCGTTTCCGGTTTTATACTAGAGTCTGGTTCAAAACTGGGTGCATTGGAGCGTCGCGTAGCCCAATTTTCCGTGCACTATCTAGAGACACTAGAGAGACTAGAGAGACTAGAGAGAGAGAGGAAGAGAGAGAGAGAGAGAGAGAGAGAGAGAGATAGCGAGAGGGATCAACTCAAAAATAAACTTTTTACGCTAAAAGTTTTTTTCGAGGTGCCATTCGGTTAGAGATGAATAGCGAGAGAGAGAGAGAGAGAGAAAGAGAGAGAGAGAGAAAGAGAGAAAGTTAGGGAGAGAGAGAGAGAGGGAGGGAGCGAGACAGAGATAGTTTCCAAAGCTACCGAAGTTTTTATTAGGAGCCGGGCCGCTGTGGCCGCGTTTTTACTCATGAACGCCCTTCCTTTTTTCCTTGCGCTTTTCCTTCTAGGGTATATTTCTCCCACTAGTCGTTGCTTGCTCGCGGACCTTTATGTTTCCCGTGGCTTTCCCTATTCTCTGCCTTCTACCTGCGCCTTCCTGGCCTTTTATTTCTCGCCATAGTCGAATGAGTCCCTGGGGTCTAGCCAAAATAAGGGAGGTAAGCGGTTTCCTAACCAACGGGGGTGGGGGGGGGGGGGGGGGGGAGGGAGTTTGAACCGTGGACACTGGGGCCGATCTGTGCTGTCAGTAGGACGCACATGGAAATGTGCACTTTTCCTAGGAATTACCAGACATAGCGCTCGAAACCGAAATCTGAAAGCCCGGCGCCACTTTCGGAATTTTGCAGCCTGTGACTTCTAATCCGTGATTGACAGTTTGGCCCGGATGGATCATGAATACGTATTTGGGCCCCTTGCCTTAAGCGAATTCCGTTTTCTAGGCGTCTTTCAGCGCCAAACCCTTGTACAGCTGCCCCTGTCGAAACCAGACACTTATAGGCTACTTCCACCCTCGATATTCGTTTAGGCTTAGGCCTTGTAGATGCATTTTCGGAGCTGTAATACCATGCCTTTGTACGCTTAATTTTAGCGGTATTATGTGCCGGTCATTTCACTATAGACCATTCTCCGGTGCTAATGCACTTCGACTGGGACGTTCCGGATTTGGACTGAAAGGCTCTCCAAACACCGTTTAACTTTGGGCCTCTTAAAAACTAAGCTTAGCTTCATACAAACGAAGTATAGTCGTTATACTATAGTTATCCTTATTAGATTCGGTGTCCGCGAATCGCTTTTGTAATCTAGTACACTTGAAGAGGCGAAGGCCCAAGGCCTGCCGGTCTGTGAACCTAAATTCGGGGTTTTATAGATCATTCCACATAGATCACCTACTCGGCTTGTTTCGAAGTAACGTCGTGTAGTATTGGCCGTTGACAGGCCTTATACGCAATTAGGCACTCGTTTCTTGACGTAATCTAGGCGCGATGACGGCTTATTGTTAGCCTCACGGTTTTTCAATTTCTTTGGTTTTCTAACTAAACTGCTGCCGTGTAGGTAGCCGAGCCCTGTTGCCAACATTTTATCGTGTAAAAATGTAGCTTTTTATCTTCCCAATAAGCGCCACGAGCGCTCCCACTCTCCATATCGGGTGCGTGCGTTGACGCGTGCTAGAGACTTTATTGTATGAATGCGACGACTTATTTCTTTATTAACTTGCCTCACCTCTATTTCGGTATCTAATTTCTCTAAAAGCCCGTATTTTTGCAGATGACGTGCAGCGGAGAAGGCCCGGGCAATTTGGCCTTGGCTATTTACGGGTTCCGCCATGTCGAGCGCCAATATGAGGCGGCGGGAATACACTGGGAAGTGAGGACGATCCGGGATCGTCTCTCGCTCGGCCACTGTACGCTCCCCGTCTACAGGTATCGCCAAAGCTTTTTTCAGTACTTTCTTCTGCCTAAAAAAGGAGCTTTGTGGCGCTATCAGAGTCTTGGTCAACTTTCTGGCGCGGTTTCGTTGTGTTTTTGTCTGTTTTAGTCAGCCTAACGCTTCGGGAAGCTAGCAGCGATCATTTTGGAAATTTTAGTTTTCTGGTGTAGATCTTGGGCGTTTGGGAATCTTAAGGTTTTTTTGGTTTTCGCTGGCTTTTGAATGAATGATGTTGCGTAATTTTTAGCTATATCTCAGATTTTTAGGGGTTAAAAACCTTTAAATCCCGTTGTTTTCAGAAATCCCGATGCGCCGGTGGTTGCCGTCGCCGCACCGACCGGAAAAAGCAAGAAGAAGGTCAGAAATTACTTTCGAAATCTCGAATTTTTGTTTAGGTGGTGGTGAAAGAGCAGCTGGAGCCGCGGGTCGAGCTCTTCGACGCCGACGACCACAAATACGAAAAGTACCTGATGAAGCTCGACCCGAATGACACGAAGAATCAGGACCACTACAAGGTGCTGGGGCTGAAGAAGCTGCGCTGGGAGGCCACCGCCGAGGAGATTCGCATTGCCTGTAGGTTTTTGGAGAGTTTTTAAGGTTAAAAATTTTTCCATGCTTTTTGGAGACTGATTGATTTGCATTTATGCGGATGGCGTCTTGAAAACTGTTTCTGAGTCAAAAACTAAGACTTTTCGTGGATTTCTTTGAGAAATTGATTTTTAGCGCTTTATTAGATTAAAAAAAGCGAGATTGCGCTTTTATAAAAAAAAAATTTATTTTTAATGATGAAAATCCCTCTTTTCCAGACCGTCAAAAAGTGCTGAAGCACCACCCGGACAAGAAGAAGCACGCCGGGATCCCGCTGCCCGCCGGCGAAGACTTCTTCACGTGCATCACCAAGGCCAACGAGCAGCTCGGTATCGTTCCCGTTTTAAAACGTTATTTTCTGTGTTTTGTAGGCATGAGCGAGGCGAAGCGGCGCGCCTACGACTCGGTGGACCCGAAATACAGCGACGACTTGCCGAACGAGAAGGAGGTGAACGCCAAGAATTTCTACGAGCTGCTCGGGCCCGTCTTTGCCGAAAATGGGCGGTAAATTGGTTTTTAGAAGGTTTTTATAGCTTTTTTAGATTCTCCATCCCGCAGCCGGTGCCGCTCCTCGGCGACGAATCGAGCAGCCGCGAGGATGTGGAGGAATTCTACTCGTTTTGGTTCAACTGGAATACCTGGAGGGAGTATAGGTATAGAGAGAGCTATAGATTACAAGCTAATTCCCGTGTTTTAGTTACGACGACGAGCAGGACAAGGAGAAGGGCGAGGATCGATGGGAGAGAAGGGAAATGGAGAAGGCGAACAAGGTGGAGAGGGAACGACGCCGCAAAGAAGAGATCAAACGGATCAGCAACCTCGTCCACATGGCCCACAACAAAGACCCGAGGATTTCCAAGTTCAAGAAGGAAGAGGCCGAGGCCAAGGAGAAGGCGAAGGTAAAAAGAAAAATCACTAAATCTTTTCTATCTCGGCGTAGGGGTATCGGTGATGCAAATTTTTTTTTTGAACCATTCGAAAAATGACATTTTTTTGCTAAAATTTCTATATTGATTTTATTTTATCGTTTTGTTTTGTAAATTGAGGCTTTTGGGGACGAAATTTTACAATTTTTTCCAGTTTTGTGCCTTTTTGAGGTCAGCATTGACCGGAAATGGCCGAGACTTGAGCCGAAAGCTAGTTACACAGAAAATTGAGGACTTTTGTAAGCGATTAATTTCTCAATTTTTCAGGAGGAACGGGCCCGTCTGCGCCGCGAGAAGCAAGAGGCCGAAGAGCTGGAGAAGCGGAAGGCCGAGGAAGCCGTCGCCGCCCAGAAGCGTGAAGAGGCTGCCAAGGTATTTTTTAGACTATTTCTAGTAAATCGAGCAGCTTTTTACGTTATATTTTGAAAATGTGACGCTAGTTTTCAATTTCTCGAAATCTAACTGTGTTTTTTTCCAGGAAAACGCCGCAAAACTGGAGGAGAAGCGGCAAAAGGATGCCGCCAAGCAGGCGAACAAGGCCCAGAAAAAACGGTACGTTTTTGTAGATTTTTTTAAGAATAATTTTTTGTAGTTTGGAGGGGCTGTGCGAAGCGGGCAACTACTGGACGACAGACTCGAAGGAGAAGCTCGCCGCCATGGAACGCTTCGATCGGGTACTTTAGAGCCTTTTTGTTCTATTTCTCGTTTAGTTGACCTTTTTGCTGAACACGGACGAGATCGGGGAGCTGTGCGACCAGATTGAGAAGATCAAGCTCGACGCCCCGGCCGTCAATCGACTGATCCAAGACGCTGAGGTGCGTTTGGTCCAAAACAAAAACCCTCGCTTTTTGGCCGCCTTCCGTCCGATGGGGCTGAATTTTTTGCCCGCGAAGCGAATCCGTAAAAAACTCAATGCAGCCCAATTTTTTAAGCAAAATTTTGTCAAAGCAAAAATTTCCCAAAACCCGGGGGTTTTCTATTATTCGAAATTATGTATTTTGATTAAATTGCTTATTTTTGAACGATATTTTCGTAAATCCAAACATTGTCCGCGGAGAGAACAGCGCCCTCCTGATTTTAGTTAAACATTTCGAGGTCGAAATTCTTTCAAAATCCCAGTGAAATCACAAAATAAACCTTAATTTTGCTATAAATTTTTTATGTTACAATATTTTGCTTAGAAAATAAGGCTGCACATATTTATGGGGGGCCCCATCGCTGGCAAAAATTTCGGCCTGATCGGATAGATAGCGGGCAAATGCCGGGGTTTTTTTTTGTCACACTGTAGTTTGCAGCATTACCGTACTATTTTGGTGATCTACTTTTTTTCAGGACGAAAAGAACCGAGCGCGCACCGCCGCCGAAACGGCCAGCAGGGCCAACAAGGAGAACACGACGACAAAAGAGGCGGAGATTGTGCTGTGGACCGACGAGGAGATCCTTCTTCTTACGAAGGTAAACTTTTACTCTTAAAAATAGTTTGAAAACTCTGAGCTCACCGTTTCGAATTAAATGCACTGTTTTTTTGATTATTTTTACCCTGATTTTTGCAGGCGGCCAACCTGTACCCGGCCGGCACGATCGACCGCTGGATCGTGATCGCCGACTACGTGAATGAACACCGAAAGGGGCAGACAACACCCAAAAAGACCGAGAAGCAGGTCATCAAACAGGTATACTAATTTTAAACTTTTAAAGTTTAACTTTACCCTTTAAAATTCAATTAATAATTTATTTTCGTGTTTTTGTAGAATTATTACATTTTTTTCAGACAAAACTGGTGCAAACGGGACAGGCGAAGCCGACGGCCGCCTCGCAGAACAAGCTCGGCGCCCCGTTGCCCGATGAGGTACGCCGAATTCTCGACTTTCAAGTGATTTTTTGCTTTTTTTTAGGAAAACTGGAGCGCGAAGGAGCACAGCGCGTTGGAGGCGGCGCTGAAGAAGTATCCGGCCAGCGACCCGGAGCGATGGGAAAAGGTTCGTCGCGTTTTTGAATTGCCTGAATTGACTTTGCTAGCTTGCCCCTTAGGCTTTTTAGGGACTTTCCACAGTGGCCAGTGCCAGCCTGCCCTCTCCCCTGCTAACGAAACGACCCCTGCTAGTTTGCCGGGTTTTCTGTCCTTTTGTGGGATTTTTGGTTCTGGACTGTTGTCGGGGGGTTTGTTAAATTTTTGGCCAAAAAGCCAGAATTTTCGAAGTATTTTATTCCTTTTATATTGTTTTGATATTAAAAACTATGTCAAATCCGTCGTTTCCTCAATGATCCCGGTTAGCCCGCCCCTCCCATGTGCCGTTTTAGGTAAAATGGATCTTCCCAAATGATCTCTGCTAGCTTGCCCCTTCGTAAAATCCGCAAAAAATAATGGTTTATCGGCATTTTAGACAGGCTTGCGAAATTTTCCATTCTCAAATGGTCTCTGCCAGATGGCCCATCCTATTTGTGGTTTTTAGCGACCAACGATATTCCTAGATAACCACTGCTAGCTTGCCATAGGAGCCTAGTTTCCTCCTGCTAGCTTTCCCCCGGGGATCGTACGAAAAAAGCATTTTTTGTAATTACAACAGGATTTTCCAAATTTTGAAATTCTCAAATCATCACTGCCAGCTTGCCCTGTTAATTTTCCCTTGAACCCGGGTTCCCAAATAATCCCTGCTCGCCTGCCTAGTGGGTTTTTAGCACTTGCAGGCTTTTTATTCAGGTTTGAAGATTTCCCTAGTCATCCCGGCTCGTTTGCCATGAAGGCCTGCCTTCCCCAATGATCCCTGCTAGGCTGCCCTCTGCTCTGGAGCTGAAATTTTCCTAATCTTCGTCTCCCTAATGGTGTTTGCTAGCTTGCCCGGGGGATTTTCCGCAAAATAGCATTTTTTGTAATTTCAATAGGATTTTCTGGATTATTTTAATTTTTAATTTTGATTTTTTTTATATTTTTTGAACAGGATTTTCGGGATTATTTAATTTTAATTGAAATGTAGCGTTTTTAATGCGTTTTTTTTTTCAGGTAGCCACCGAGGTGCCGGGCCGCACGAAGAAGGACTGCATCAAACGATTCAAATACGTCGCGCAGCTCATCAAAAATCAGAAGAAATGAAGAGGAGAAGGCGAGAAGAAGCCCCCCGCGAAACCGATAGGATATTTCAAATTGCTCACATCATCATTATGGTCATTCTCTCGTTTTGATTGTACTTGCTTTTCCCCTCTTTCTTCTCTTTTTGTCATCCTGGGTGTCTTGTTGATCTGCATTCCCTCCATTTGTCTAGCTTATCCTTCTCTTCTCGGTTCTAGTTCTCACGCCCCCTTTTTGATTGGCAAACCGAGGTTTACGGCGGAATTTGGGCTCTAATTTTCGTAGATGAAACGCGTGCCGTAAGCTTGCTTTTGCCGATCGACGCCTTGATCAATATCACAACAATGTCCACTCTTTAGTGTCCATTTGTCTTGATTGTCATTCGGTCTTTTTTTTCCTCAATTCCTGTCTCCATCTCTCATTCTCTAGTCCCCTGCTAGCTCTCCCTTCTTTAATTCATTACATACCAATTTCCGCCCACTCGTTTTTTGTTATAACTTTCCGTCTTCTTGTTGTTTTTTATAATCGAGATTTGAGAAATGAAGATACGGTCAATTTATACGCGTTCAACTTTTGCAATTTGACAATCTTAGGTTGGAAAGGGCGAAAAATGGAGGTTTTTGATCCCTACAATGCCCGCCCGGAACTGTGTGGCCAACTGGGGGATGCGTTCCAACGTACCACCGAGTTTCGACTTGCAAATTGGTGAATTTAGAGAGTATGGGCTTGCGTTTCCAATGCGCTAAAAATTTCAGCACATGGTCGATGGCCGGCGGATATATCACGTTTACGTTTGGCATAAATGCATGATTTTTAAAGGGGCTCAGAAGTCAAAATTCGTGCCTGCGGGGAGTGAACCCATGGGTCAAAAAAGTAAAGGGTCACTGCCGAGAAGTGCTAAAAAAGTGATTTGATTGCGAAAAAACGTAAAATGTTTGAGAAAAACCGAATTCTTTTTCGGGCGAAACCGACTTTTTGAGTGGGCGGCCATTACATGTCGTAATGCGTTGTAAGGCACCCAATCTCTCGATCTCGGCCATTCTCTGGTCAATTTTCATAATTTAAAAGTCTGGAATGATCAAAATTCGTTGAAGATTCAAAAAATAGTATCAGAATTTTGAAATTTAAGCGTTTTCGCGTCCAAACAGGGGCAAACGATCATGCGGCGCGGTCGCGTTGCGGCCGCATCTGGCTATTTGCCAGGAATCACAACAGGAGGTCGTGGACCAGATTTCGGAGCCCCTTTAAAGGGACCCGCTCGTTTTATTAAAGGGCTGCCGACGGCATGTGTCGATCCCCCCTCCCCCTCATCAACAAATTGGCAAGTAGCCAACAGGGCAGAGAGCGCGCTCTGGGGAGAGACACACAGACATTTTCTTTCCAGCGCCTAAGGGGCTGCCGACGGCATATTAGCATTGATTAGCATATTAGCATGTGGCCCATATTAGCATGTTCGCCAGAATGGCACCGATTCTCAGGAATATGCCTGTATTTATCCTCCTCTAGATGGCCGCACCGCAGGAGCACGATGAGGTAACTCTTTAAAGGGATTAAAAAAACTGGTCCATCACCCCTCCCTCCCCCTGCTGCGTCGATTTCCCGCAAATCGCTAATGACTGCTGCAACGCAAAAATATGTTCTTGAGCTTCTGCTGCGGCCTGAAAGATCGCAAGATGGAAAGAATTTGCAAATCCTGGCGCGATTTCTGCAGTCCTCTGACGATTTTAATCATGCTCGCTCTCTTAATTATCAAAATTGACGAGCCAATCAGGAGAATCGAAAAACGGAAGTCATTACGAAATGTTATCTCCGCAGCCCAAAAAATTGATTTTGCCTCAAAAATATTAAGTCATTTACAGAACCAAGAAGGGCCGTTCAGGCCATTTGGTCAAGAAGATCAGAGGCAAGAGAGAGCAGAGACCCGTGGGCTACATATTGGTTTGACAAAAAAGGGGAAATTTTAGTGCTTCCACTGCTAGGCGTCAACTACCCAGAGCCCGCTCTACGGCGTCATCATCTGCCCTTCCTGCCAGAAGAAGGCGGGGTTAGTTTGAATTCAGCTTCCGTACTGGGCTGTTAGCGGGGGGGAGGGGGTTTCCCCAAGGATACCACACAGACCGCCCCACAAAATATGAACCATTTCTAAGACGCTTTACAGCGTTTTTTGGATTTGAATATGATTTCGAACATTTTTGATCTATTGCGAAAAATGTTTGAAGAATGAGCGAAAAACGCAAAAAAAATAGATTTACAACTTTCTAACATTCAAAAACTACGAAAACGCGCTAAATATACATTTTTATGTTACCACAGGTAGGTTGATGTGGAACGACAAAAATTCGGATCCCCCCGCTAACAGCCGAGTACCCAGATTTATTTAATTTATAAATTTTAGGCCATGGGCTCGATCGGCAAATCCGTGTTGCCAGCGAATGAAGGGATGTGCTGATTTAGCCGTCTACGTGGACGACATGTAGGCCAAAAGTTTATTGCAAAATATCTCTTTATAGCGGTTTTGCCGAGGCCGAGCTGGAGGCGTACACGCGGATTCTGGAAATCCTGAGAGGTAAGTATTGCTCTTCGATAATGCATAAAGTTAATTTTTAGCCCGATCTTGCTGGTATTGCAAGATCGTTGCAACGCCGCTCGCCCGTGCAGTCACAGATTGGAAGGGCCAGCAAGCACCTGGCAGAACCCGTATTATTTAGCTTCGATGCAAATTATGATAATTTAGGCGGCGCCAAACGGGCCGCTGCCCCCGTTGCCACAAACATCATTGGAATGCTGCTGGTGTTCTTGCTGCTCGGAATATCTACTGCAACCTCCAGTACGAGTTATACCAATTTGGGTTTTTTCGCATTAGCAGGGGGTGCGGGGCAACATTTCTAAAACTCGAGTTTTTCTAAGGTCTTTTTAAGTTAAAAAAAATAGATTTTTCGTCGAAAATAAAACTACGAAAACACGCTAAATATACATTTTTATATTACCACAGGTAGGTGGATGTGGAACGACAAAAATTTGGATCCCCCCGCTAGCAGCCGAGTACCCAGATTTATTTAATTTATAAATACTAGGCCCTGGGCTGGATCGGCCAACAAGCCTTGTTGTCAGCAAACAAAGGGATGTGTGGATCTGGCAGTCTACACCGACGACGTGTATGCCAAAAGTTTATTGCAAAATATCTCTTTATAGCGGGTTCGACGAAGCAGAAATCGACGCCTACACCCATATTTTGGAGGTGTTGCGGGGTTCTGGAGGCGGGTTCTTCGATAATTCTAATTAATTAATTTTTAGATCGTGCCTGTTGGTACTGTGAGCTAGTCGGGACGCCGCTGGCCCGTGCGTTGAGCGAGTCGAGGGAGAAGCAGGGACCAGGGAAAACCCGTATTCAGGTTTGAAGATTTCCCTAGTCATCCCTGCTCGTTTGCCATGAACGCCTGCCTTCCTCAATGATCCCTGCTACGCTGCCCTCTGCTCTGGAACTGAAATTTTCCTAATCTTCGTCTTCCTAATGGTGTTTGCTAGCTGGCCCGGGGGATTTTCCGCAAAATAGCATTTTTTGTAATTTCAATAGGATTTTCGGGATTATTTTAATTTTTACTTTTGATTTTTTATATTTTTATTTTTAATTTATATTTTTAACAGGATTTTCGGGATTATTTAATTTTCACTGAAATGTAGCGTTTTTAATGCGTTTTGTTCAGGTAGCCACCGAGGTGCCGGGCCGCACGAAGAAGGACTGCATCAAACGATTCAAATACGTCGCGCAGCTCATCAAAAATCAGAAGAAATGACGAGGAGAAGGCGAGAAGAAGCCCCCCGCGAAAACGATAGGATATTTCAAATTGCTCACATCATCATTATGGTCAGGCCCGTACGGGAGCCGAGATTTCGGGGGCACCCACCCAAAAATTTTTTGGCGACCCCCCCCCCGGTCGCCACTTTCAAAACATTCGAAAATAGCGACAATAACCGCGCCGCAGGCGAAAAAATATAAAAAACCGCGTTTGTAACGCTTAAATTCGTGTGAAAACACATCGGAAACGGCGCGCACAAGCGAAATTTTGTTCAGCAAACATGGTGCACTAGTGAAAACTAGCGCCGCAGGCAAAAATTTTTAGAAAAATAGGTTTTCTAGAAGTAAAAATCGTTTGGAAACAGCGACAAACAGCGCCGCAGGCAGAAAAATTTTTGCGAAAAAAATCATAAGGGTCCCCCCTTATGAACTTTTCGGACCTCGACCGATTTCGGGGGGGCACCGTGCCCCCGGTGCCCCCCTCGTACGGGCCTGATTATGGTCATTCTTTCGTTTTGATTGTACTTGCTTTTCCCCTCTTTCTTGTCTTTTTGTCATCCTGGGTGTCTTGTTGATCTGTATTCCCTCCATTTGTCTAGCTTATCCTTCTCTGCCCGTTTCTAGTTCTCACGCCCCCTTTTTGATCGACAAAATGGGGTCTAATTTAGTGGTGTAATCAGTTAAACGGCTAAATTTCGTGGAATACCGGTCAAAATTCACCTTTTTTGCCGGAAATTTTCGCATAATTTTACAATTTTAGGATAGCGTTGGGATATTTCCCTAATTACATTGCGTAAATAACTGCACTTTTGCCATTTTCGGGGTTTTTTCTCTCAAATCTAACACTTTGGGTCTTCGAATATTATGGTTTAATAGCTTAAATTTTTAAAAATTTGGTTAATTTTCGGAGTCTAAGGGCATACCGCAAGCCTCATTTTGTCGATCGACGCCTCCCAAATCATATATCGTGTCCCTCACCTCCTCTTCCTCTTTCTTCTGATCAATATCACAACAATGTCCACCCTTTCGTGTCTATTTTTGTTGATTGTGATTTAGTCTTTCCCCTCTATTTCTCTGTCTCCATCTCTCATTCTCTAGTCCCCTGCTAGTTCTCTCTTCTAGTTCCGCCCATTCGTTTTTTGTTATAACGTTCCGTCTTCTTGTTGTGTTTTATAATCGAGATTTCAGAAATAAATATAAGCTCATTTTCGAATTTTTGACGTTTTGACAATTTTAGGCTTGAAAGGGCGTTTTTTAGATGTTTTTGACTGCAATGCCTGGCCAGAGCGGATCGACGATGTGAATCGATTTATGTGTGCTTTCCGTTTAGCGGGGGGTGTTAGCTAACTTGTCTTTGTGTAGCATATACCTGTATAGTGAGAAATTTGGTTTATTTGACGAATATTTTCAATAGGTTCCGATAGAGATCAGAGGAATTTTAGCGCAGAAACTTATTATTTTTTTGTCTAGCTCTTTCTCTTCATGCCTACCCGAATGGCTCGTCGAAAAAACCTTGGTGTCGGCGAAGATTTTTGCTTTTTGGTCAGCATTTAGCGGACGGGCTCAGGCAGGGGCGTAGCTGACCCCAAGTTTCGGGGGGGCAGCAAGAAAAAATTTTCGCAATTTGAGCGCCGCAGGCGAAAAATTTAGCTAAAATAGCAGCGCCGCAGGCTAAAAAATGAAGAAAAAGTAAGAAAAACAGCGCCGCAAGCGAAAAAATTTTCAAGTTGAAAAAAATCATAAGGGGGGACCCTTATGTTTTTTTCGGGCCCGCCGGATTTCGGGGGGCAGCCTGCCCCCGCTGCCCCCCTTCTACGCGCCTGGGCTCAGGGTTCGATCATGCGGGCGGAAATAGCCATGACTAAAAACGGCCTAGAGGTTGTCTCAAAGTTCTTAGGGGGTTCATAAGGGGCATCATTCGACGCGGAAGAGTGTGCCACATCGAATGGTGTAGCTAAAAAACTGATCCGAGGCCGTTCCGGAAAGATAGATCCGTAAAACCGCGTTTTTGCTAAGATTTACTAAGAATTGCATAAATCGGGCCTGGAGGTTGTCTGAAAAAGTTTTTAGGGGTTTCTTATGGGTATCATTCGATGTACAAGAGCGTGGTGCATCGAATCGTGTAGCTTAAATCGCGAATTTTTCCAATATGAATCGTGTAATTGTTTCTAAGCCGTTTTTTACCATTTTTAAACGTAAAAACTAGAAAATTTGATTAAACAATGTCCAAAATATGGAATTTCTGCCAAAAACGGCCCTTCTTTATCAAAATTTTGAGTTTTTAAAAGCTTTTAGAAGTTTTTCTAGTCTAAATACAGCTTTTTTTAGCAAAAACACTGTTCAAATAATTGCTACTTTGTTACTAGGCCATTCCAAAATTACGCAAAAATCTTCTCCCCCCCGATAATGCAAAAGAACCGATTATTCTAACGCTCTTCTGAACTCGCAGCTCCGGCGCAAAATCTTGTTTTGCTCAGTTTTAATTGACCAGCGATTCGGGGAACGGCTTTTCGTTGGAGAAGCCTTTTTCGTGGCGTAGAGGCGGGCGTCTTGTAGATGTTGGTTGGGGCTGATGCTCACCCTCATGCTCAGGCTATAGGGGACCGGCTTCGATCGTAATCTGCATCTCCATTGGTTCCATCCTCCTCCTCCCTTCTACTTCTTCCTCTTTTCTGTCCCCCCATTTTCCACGTTGGCCGCCCTGGCCGAGGAGATCCCCATCCAGAACAGCGCATCTACCCCGAATTTCAACCGAAACTCGAGGATTTGGAATTTTTCTACGTTTCTTGGCTGATTTGATTTTATTTGTGATCATTTTCGAATTTTTCCACGTCTTAGAGCTGGTTTTCTAGGGGTTTTCCAAATTTTCGAGTTTTTCGACTTTTATGGGCAAAATTTTCTGAATTTTGCTTCGTTTTCGGTAAACTGGCACCCAGTATTCAGGTTGAAGATTTAATAGGACCAGCTTTTAGTTAAAAATAAAATTTGCAATTTTGACGATATTTGCGGCTGATTTTTGGCCCTCATTTCACCCTCACAATGAATTCGGTTCTTGGCTTTTTAGTATGTATAGTTTTCGTGAGGATCTTGTGGATTTTTAGAGTTGCTACGAATTTATCGTATTTTTTAATTGCACAAAAACTGGCGGCACTTTGATTATTATTCGGATTCGAGTATTATTCGAAGAATCGGAAATTTTTCGAATTTTCGAATTTTTGGCGGCGATTGATTCTCATTTTCTGCTTTTTTTCAATTTCTTAACTACCTGATGAGATTTTTATAAGTGTATATTTCATATTGAATTCCATTCCATTTAATTGCTATCACAAATGTGTCAAATTGACATTTTTTAGAAGAGCGAAATGGCGCTCCTCGAGACGCCCGAGGCCAAGAGGTTATTTTTTTATCCACATAATTTTTACCATTTCCAATACTACGGCAAAACTATTTTGTATTGGATTATTTTGAGCTCAAATTAAAACGTTTAGTAGATTTTTTGATGCTCCATCGAATGGCATACCGGAAATGTCGAAAAAATAGCGAAAATATTTAAAACTAGCTTTTCGACCCCCGTTTTTAGAGGTTTTGTTTGTTTTTGCTTGAACTATTTTAGATTACAATATTTTGAGCTGCTGTTGGCTGGGAAAACGGTACCAAAAATTTGCGGATCAATTTTCCGATAGACCACGAATTCGATCTGTATTTCCAGCGCGCTGTTCTTCGCCGGCGGTTCCCTATTCACCCAGTTATTGGCCAAAGTCGTGGTCACTCGTTTCTTCTTTGACTACCCGATCGTCATTCTGATGCTTCAACACGCCGCCACACTATTTCTCGTCGAGGTGCTACGGTAAGCCCAGGGAAAAGCTAGAAAATTATTTTTTCCGCGGGAATTACATGTCGTAACGCCCTCCGTAGCGCTAAAATTATCGATTTTTCTTGGGTCAAATATAACGATTACAATAGCTCAATGATAAAAAAGGCTAAAATTCCGGCAAAATCAGTTAATTCACGCGTTATCACTTGCGCGTTGCGTGTCGCGGCGCGGAAAATACAGCAAATCCATAGCCTCGCCTTTCCGGTCCCTGTAAAAAAAACGAAAATCGTTAAATTTCGCGCCAGACGGTAAAGATCGAATTTTTTAGGATTAATATCACGACCCCTTTAACGTCGCATTGATAGCCGATCTGACCCGTCTACTGTATTTTCAGGTTATTGTCAATCGTGAAACTGCCGGCATATTCGTTCGATCGTGGCCGTTTTGCCATGTCTGCCTTTAACACTTTCGGGGTAGTGACCGGACGCCCTAATGACTGCTGCAACGCAAAAATATGTTCTTGATAGGGTTGTTATACGAGTTGATTCGCCAGCGAGTTGATTCGAATAAGTCCCGATTCGCAACCGGCGAATGGAAATTTCGTCGATTCAATTCGCCAGCGAGTTGATTCGAATCGCGATTTGACTCGTAGCGAATTTGACTCGTCGGGAACGAATCCGATTCAAAACGAATCAATTCGCATACGAGTCGATTCGTCAGACGAGTTGATTCGCTGGCGAATCGATTCGTTGCCCACGAATCAGAATCGAAACGAATCGACTCGTCAACGAGTTGATTCGTTTGCCGTTCTGACTCGTCGGAAGTTGTTATATGTTAATGAAAAAGCTGCCTGGGCTGCTTTTCGGCAGTATAGGACTAGGCTTTTTTGACCAAATCAGTAGATGAACATCATGTTCGACAATTCGACGCCAAACCGCTCGCAACTCATTTGGGTGTTGTTTGGTAGCATTCCTTCGCGGTTGTTGAAGGCGGCGGACAATTTCGAGACGTTTTTTTCCAACCAAGCTGCTCAAAAGCTGAAACTCGTTGGACAGACAGCACTTTTCGCGTTCGAAATGATGTCCTCCGCAATTCAGAATACGCTGTACAGATCAAGATATGATGGTTTTAGTGCGGCGACATCTTCGACAGGTACGCCTTTTGGCACCAAAACGCTCCCCTCTTTGTCCTCAGACGGTTTTGGGAAACCGTAAATATATATGGTTGGGAAGAGCGGTGAAAATGCAACAATCTAAACGCCTTGAAGCAATTTTATTGAGCTGGGTTAAGCTGCTAGGGCGGTTGGAAAAAACGTCTCGAAATTGTCCGCCGCCTTCAACAACCTTGAAGGTATGCTACGAAACGACCACTAAATGAGTTGCGAGCGGTTCGGCGTCGAATTGTTCGAACTGCTCGAAGATGATGTTCATTTTCTGATTTGGTAAAAAAAAGCGTAGTCCTATACTGCCGAAAAGTACCCCAGACAGCACCCCGAAAGACACCGCAAAAGCCGCCCCGGGGTGAATTCTGATTTACATAGCGTTTTTCATTAACATATAACAACTTCCGACGAGTCAGAACGGCAAACGAATTCTTTCATTTTTCAATTTGCAAATCCTGGCGTGATTTCTGCAGTCCTCTGACGATTTTAATCATGCTCGCTCTCTTAATTATCAAAATTGGCGAGCCAATTAGGAGAATCGAAAAATGGAAAGCATTACGAAATGTAGCCCAAAAAATTGATTTTGCCTCGAAAATATTAAATCATTTACAGAACCGAGACGGGCCGTTCAGGCGATTCGTCAAGAAGATCAGAGGCAAGAGAGAGCAGAGACCCGTGGGCTACATATTGGTTTCACAATAAAGGGCAAATTTTAGGGGGTTCGCTTATACTTCCGAAAATCTGATTCCCGAAAATCCGTTTCCCGAAAATCCGATTACCGAAAATAGAATTCCCGAAAAATCCGAATCCCGAAAAATCTGAATCCCGAAAATCTGAATCCCGAAAATCCGGTTCCCGAAAAATCTAAACCCCGAAAAATTCGTTTCCCGAAAATCTGTTTCCCGAAAAATCTGAAACTAAAGAATCTGCGGTTTGTGAACTGAAAAAAACCCTGGTACAATTCAACGAGGCGGGGGGGAGGGAGATTCAGGCGGGGGGCAATCTGCGTCTCAGCGCCCGCCCTACTCTCTAGGCACCCCTCTGCCTATAGGCCCACCCCCCCCCTGCCGAAATCTTCACCCCCGCCTATTTGAATTGTACCAAAACCCTTTCTAAAGTTCCTGGGCGACTTCCAAGACGGTGAATTCAATAAAGTTAATTTTTAACTTTGTTTTCTTCCAATTTGGCTTTTCAGAGCGCGGTCTTTCGGGGTTTGGATTCTCGGTTCTCGGATTTTTCGGGATTCAGATTTTCGGGAATCGGATTTTCGCGAATCGGATTTTCGGAAAACGGATTTTTCGGGATTCAGATTTTTCGGGAATCGGATTTTCGGGAATCAGATTTTCGGGATTCAGATTTTTCGGGATTCAGATTTTCGAGAATCAGATTTTCGGGAAACAGATTTTCGGGATTCTCATCGGAAATCAAATTTTAGTGCTTCCACTGCAGTACGCCGACAACACAGGGCCCGCTCTACGGCGTCATCCTTTGCCCTTCTTGCCAGAAGAAGGCGGGGTTAGTTTGAATTCGGCTTCCGTACTGGGCTGTTAGCGGGGGGGGGAAGGGGTTTTCCCCAAGGATACCACACAGCCCGCCCCACAAAATATGAACCATTTCTAAGACGCTTTCCAGCGTTTTTTGGATTTGAATATGATTTCGAACATTTTTGATCTATTGCGAAAAATGTTTGAAGAATGAGCGAAAAACGCAAAAAAAATAGATTTACAACTTTCTAACATTCAAAAACTACGAAAACGCGCTAAATATACATTTTTATGTTACCACCACGGGGTCCCGACTATTCAGGAGGGCGCGCACGAGGGACGGGGCACTCCACGGGACGGGTGGACCGGCTGCGCGCACAGCGAACCCTGAGACCCGCAAAAGGCCTTAACAAAAGGGGCAAAAAGCGACAAATTTTCGTACTTTCAAAATGCGATAACTTTTTTTCTAGAAAAAAACGGTCGAGCCGGCTTTTCGCATATGATAGAACAGACCCTAAGGCACATTTTCCAAAAGAGCTCGGAGCAAATCTGAATCAAAATAAGGAGTTCAAAACTTTTTAAGCGAGCAGAAGACCGAAAATTCACCCCTTTGTGCGCAGCGCTTTTCTTTGAATATAGCCATTTTCTGGCATCCTTTTTCGTATATTTGAATCGCCTTAGACTTGCCAATGATCAATTGCTTGCTTTTTCGGGGTTGGGGGCTGTAATGGACGAGATTGAGGCCCATCCATTTTGAGCAATTTTGAATTCTGGAGTAGTACTGAACTATTTGGCTTGAATCGACTTTGTTTGATTATCTTATATAATATATTCAGCTCTGTTTAATATCTATGTGACTTAAATGAGTACTCCAGCACCACTATTCACGATTTCCTTGTTTCTGACTCAGGAACGATATAGTTTTTGATTTTTCGGCATTGGGTACACTATAGAGGGGTTGCTGGCATCTTCAACCACTTTTTGCAAAAAAGAGCAAAACGCTCTGACGGTGCGGGGGGTCAGAGGTATCGAACCAGCACCCCCTTCCCTGTGGCCTGTGACCGCCGCCTTAGACCACTCGGCCACGCCCCTCCCCACCCTCCGTGCGCGCTCTGAGACCCCGTGCCACAGGTTGATGTGGAGCGACAAAAATTCGGATCCCCCCCCCCGCTAACAGCCGAGTACCCAGATTTATTTAATTTATAAATACTAGGCCCTGGGCTCGCTCGGCTAATCCGTGTTGCCAGCAAATGAAGGGATGTGATGATTTGGCCATCTACGTGGACGACATGTAGGCCAAAAGTTTATTGCAAAATATCTCTTTATAGCGGTTTTGCCTAGGCCGAGTTGGACGCGTACACGCGTATTCTTGAGGTGTTGCGCGGTATTGCTCTTCGATAATGCATAAAGTTAATTTTTAGGCCGGTCTTGCTGGTACTGTCAGATCGTCGCCACGCCGCTCGCCCGCGCAGTCACAGACTGGAAGGGCAAGCAGGCCCCTGGAAAGACCCGTATTATTTAGCTTGGATGCAAATTATGATAATTTAGGCGGCGCCAAACGGGCCGCTGCCCCCGTCGCCACAAACATCATTGGAATGCTGATGGTGTTCTTGCTGCTCGGAATATCTACAGCAACCTCCAGTACGAGTTATACCAATTTGGGTCTTTTCGCATTAGCAGGGGGGGGGGGGGGCAACATTTCTAAAACTCGAGTTTTTCTAAGGTATTTTTAAGTTAAAAAAAATTAGATTTTTCGTCCAAAATAAAACTACGAAAACACGCTAAATATACATTTTTATGTTACCACAAGTAGGTTGATTTGGAACGGCAAAAATTTGGATCCCCCCCCCCGCTAACAGCCGAGTACCCAGATTTATTTAATTTATAAATACTAGGCCCTGGGCTCGATCGGTCAACAAGCCATGTTGTCAGCAAACAAAGGGATGTGTGGATCTGGCAGTCTACAGGGTGTCCCAAAAAAAACGACCCATCTGGCATTTCGCCGTGTTACATCCAATCGGTCCCAAATTTGGACCAGAGGTGTATCGGACCCTAAATAACAACAATCCTGACTTATAGCCCGGTAGCTACAGTCGTTCTCGAGTTATAGCAAAAACAAACTTTAATTTCCATTTTTCATAGGGTTTTCGTTGAATTAGACCCCCTAAACATTAAGTGAAAATGATCCGGTAGGCCTTCTTTACCAGAAGAAATTTTTTCCGGAGTAAAATTAATTAAATAAGCTTCGATTTATGCGATTTTTACAACGCAAAACTACCCCAGTTCTTAGGCGAAATTAGGGATTCGCAGCCGGAAGTCGATGCAAATCGATGCAAAGTCCAAAAAGATAGCCGATAAAACTGTTCAGAATTCCGGGAAAAACAGTATTTTCGTTATAACTTTAAAACAACTGTAGCTATGGGGCTGTAAGCCAGGATTGTGGTTATTTAGGGTCTGATACACCTCTGGTCTAAATTTGGGACCGGTTGGATGTAACACGGCGAAATGCCAGATGGGTCGTTTTTTTTGGGACACCCTGTACACCGACGACGTGTATGCCAAAAGTTTATTGCAAAATATCGCTTTATAGCGAGTTCGCCGAAACAGAAATCGACGCCTACACGCGTATTTTGGAAGTCTTGAAAAGTATTGCTCTTCGATAATTCTAATTAATTAATTTTTAGATCGTGCCTGTTGGTACTGTGAGCTAGTCGGGACGCCGCTGGCCCGTGCGTTGAGCGACTGGAAGGACAAGCAGGAACCAGGGAAAACCCGTATTCAGGTTTGAAGATTTCCTTAGTCATCCCTGCTCGTTTGCCATGAAGGCCTGCCTTCCCCAATGATCCCTGCTAGGCTGCCCTCTGCTCTGGAGCTGAAATTTTCCTAATCTTCGTCTCGCTAATGGTGTTTGCTAGCTGGCCCGGGGATTTTCCGCAAAATAGCGTTTTTTGTAATTTCAATAGGATTTTCGGGATTATTTTAATTTTTAATTTTGATTTTTTATATTTTTATTTTTAGTTTATTTTTTAACAGGATTTAATTTTGATGAATTTTGATTTGTTTTTTATGCGTTTTTTTTCAGGTAGCCACCGAGGTGCCGGGCCGCACGAAGAAGGACTGCATCAAACGATTCAAATACGTCGCGCAGCTCATCAAAAATCAGAAGAAATGAAGAGGAGAAGGCGAGAAGAAGCCCCCCGCGAAACCGATAGGATATTTCAAATTGCTCACATCATCATTATGGTCATTCTCTCGTTTTGATTGTACTTGCTTTTCCCCCTCTTTCTTGTCTTTTTGTCATCCTGGGTGTCTTTTTGATCTGCATTCCCTCCATTTGTCTAGCTTATCCTTCTCTTCTCCTTTCTAGTTCTCACGCCCCCTTTTTGATCGACAAAATGGGGTCTAATTTAGTGGTGTAATCAGTTAAACGGCTAAATTTCGTGGAATACCGGTCAAAATTCACCTTTTTTGCCGGAAATTTTCGCATAATTTTACAATTTTAGGATAGCGTTGGGATATTTCCCTAATTACATTGCGTAAATAACTGCACTTTTGCCATTTTCGGGGTTTTTTCTCTCAAATCTAACACTTTGGGTCTTCGAATATTATGGTTTAATAGCTTAAATTTTTAAAAATTTGGTTAATTTTCGGAGTCTAAGGGCATACCGCAAGCCTCATTTTGTCGATCGACGCCTCCCAAATCATATATCGTGTCCCTCACCTCCTCTTCCTCTTTCTTCTGCCTTTTATATTCGAGATTTCAGAAATAAATATAAGCCGATTTTCGAATTTTGACGTTTTGACAATTTTAGGCTTGAAAGGGCGTTTTTTTAGATGTTTTTGACTGCAATGCCTGGCCAGAGCGGATCGACGATGCGAATCGATTTATGTGTGCTTTCCGTTTAGCGGGGGGTGTTAGCTAACTTGTCTTTGTGTAGCATATACCTGTATAGTGAGAAATTTAGTTTATTTGACGAATATTTTCAGTAGGTTCCGATAACTAAATAACTCGTAGCGCAGAAAGTTATGCTGTTTGTCTAGCTTTCCCTCTCTCTTTCTCTCTCTCTCTCTCTCTCTCTCTCTCTCTCTCTCTCTCTCATCATGCCTACCCGAATGGTCCATCGAAAAAACCTTTGTGTCGGCGAAGATTTTTGCTTTTTGGTCAGCCTTTAGCGGACGGGCTCAGGGTTCGATCATGCGGGCGGAAAATGCCATGACTAAAAACCGCCTGGAGGTTGTCTGAAGAGTTCTTAGGGGGTTCATAAGGGGGCATCATTCGACGCGGAAGAGTGAGACACATCGAATGGTGTAGCTAAAAGAATGACCCGAGGCCGTTCCGGAAAAACAGATCCGTAAAACCGCGTTTTTGCTAAGATTTACTAAGGATTCCATAAATCGGGCCTGGAGGTTGTCTGAAAAAGTTTTTAGGGGTTTCTTATGGGTATCATTCGATGTACAAGAGCGTGGTGCATCGAATCGTGTAGCTTAAATCGCGAATTTTTCCAATATGAATCGTGTAATTGTTTCTAAGCCGTTTTTTACCATTTCTAAACGTAAAAACTAGAAAATTTGATTAAACAATGTCCAAAATATGGAATTTCTGCCAAAAACGGCCCTTCTTTATCAAAATTTTGAGTTTTTAAAAGCTTTTAGAAGTTTTTCTAGTCTAAATACAGCTTTTTTTAGCAAAAACACTGTTCAAATAATTGCTACTTTGTTACTAGGCCATTCCAAAATTACGCAAAAATCTTCTCCCCCCCCCGATAATGCAAAAGAACCGATTATTCTAACGCTCTTCTGAACTCGCAGCTCCGGCGCAAAATCTTGTTTTGCTCAGTTTTAATTGACCAGCGATTCGGGGAACGGCTTTTCGTTGGAGAAGCCTTTTTCGTGGCGTAGAGGCGGGCGTCTTGTAGATGTTGGTTGGGGCTGATGCTCACCCTCATGCTCAGGCTATAGGGGACCGGCTTCGATCGTAATCTGCATCTCCATTGGTTCCATCCTCCTCCTCCCTGCTACTTCTTCCTCTTTTCTGTCCCCCATTTTCCACGTTGGCCGCCCTGGGCGAGGAGATCCCCATCCAGAACAGCGCATCTGCCCCGGCTTTTCAACCGAAACTCGAGGATTTGGAATTTTTTTACGTTTCTTGGCTGATTTTTATTTTATTTGTGATAAATTTCGAAATTTTCGACGTCTTGGCGCTGGTTTTTCTAGGGTTTTCCAAATTTTCGAGTTTTTCGACTTTTAAGGGCAAAATTTTCTGAATTTTGCTTCGTTTTTCGGTAAACTGGCACCCAGTATTCAGGCTGAAGATTTAATAGGATCAGCTTTTAACTAAAAAAATAAAATTTGCAATTTTGACGATATTTGCGGCTGATTTTTGGCCCTCATTTCAGCCTCACAATGAATTCGGTTTTTGGCTTTTTAGTATGTATAGTTTTCGTGAGGATTTTGTGGATTTTTAGAGTTGCTACGAATTTATCGTATTTCTTAATTGCACAAAAACTGGCCGCACTTCGATTATTAGAGTAATTATTAGGAGAATGGGAAATTTTTCCAATTTTCGAATTTTTTACGGCGATTGATTCTCATTTTCTGATTTTTTTAAAATTTTTTTAACCACCTGATGAGATTTTTTAAGTGTATATTTCATATTGTATTCCATTCCGGTTAATTGCTATCACAAATGGGTCAAATTGACATTTTTTAGAAGACCGAAATGGCGCTCCTCGAGACGCCCGAGGCCAAGAGGTAATTTTTTTATCCATATCATTTTTACCATTTCCGATACTACGGCAATACTATTTTATATCGAATTATTTTGAGCTCAAATTAAAACGCTTAGTAGATTTGTTGATGCTCCATCGAATATCGAAAATGTCGAAAAAAATAGCGAAAATATTTAAAACTAGCTTTTTGACCCCCGTTTTTAGAGGTATTTTTGTTTTTGCTATAACTATTTTATATTACAATATTTTGAGCTGCTTTTCGCTGGGAAAACGGTACCAAAAATTTGCGGATCGAATTTTCCGATAGACTACGAATTCGATCTGTATTTCCAGCGCGCTGTTCTTCGCCGGCGGTTCCCTATTCACCCAGTTATTGGCCAAAGTCGTGGTCACCCGTTTCTTCTTTGACTATCCCATTGTCATTCTGATGCTTCAACACGCCGCCACACTATTTCTTGTCGAGGTGCTACGGTAAGTCCAGGGAAAATTTAGAAAATTATGTTTCCGCGGGAATTACATGTCGTAACGCCCTCCGTAGCGCTAAACTTATCGATTTTTCTTGGGTCAAATACAACGATTACAATAGCTAAATGACTTCCGAGAGGGGAGAAAAAGGCGAAAATTCCGGCAAACTCAGTTAATTCACGCGTTATCACTTGCGCGTTGCGTGTAGCGGCGCGGAAAATGCATAAAATCCACGGCCTCGCCTTGCAGGTCCCTTTAAAAAACGAAAATCATTAAATTTCGCGCCAGACGGTAAAAATCGACTTTTTTTAAGGTTACTATCTGTCACCGTCACTTTAAAGACCCATTGATCGCCAATCTGACTCGTATACTGTATTTTCAGGCTATTGTCAATCGTCAAACTTCCGGCATATTCGTTCGATCGTGGCCGTCATCTCTTCGTTCCTTCGCTTCTTTTGGCAGGTATGGCTTCTGTGCTCTTCTCTCTCTCTAGCACTCTCTCGCTCACCCTCTCTCGCTCACTCTCTCTCACTCTCTCGTACTCTCTCTCTCTCAGTCTCAACTTTCTCACTCTCGCACTCTCTCTCACTCTCTCTCGCTCTCGCTCGCTCTCTCTCTCTCTCTCTCTCTCTCTCTCTCTCTCTATATCCCTCTCTTTTCAGTCTCTTCCTGGCTATCAGTCGCTTCCCTCGAGGGCATCGGAATGCCGGTCTTTGATTCAGTCAAAAGGTTCGTTTTTCGAGGGCAATTTCATGCCGTTCTCGATTCGCTATATCCATTTCAGATGGAGTTCGGTGGTAGTCGTTCTCCTGAGTGGGGTGATGCTCAAAAAAGGCCGTCCGGAAAGTCAAAAAGGGCTCCTCATCGTCACCGGAATATCGTTGACTGCTGCCCTTACTGGTCAGGATTTTTGTTCTGGGCTGTTAGCGGGGGGGAGCCGAATTTTCCCCATTAATCCCTTACGGCCCTCTAACAAAATGTAAACCAATTTCATGGCATTTTACAGTTTTTAGCTGTAAAAAGCATGTAAAAAGCAAGATTTTAGCATTTTCAAAAATTTTCGAATTTTCCGAATTCTTTAGCAATCAATTACTGCTAAATCCCCCCCCCCGCTAACGATCCGGTACCGAATTTGTCTATGTTTTCTCTATTTTTATATTTTTCCAGTAAATTTCGACCTGTCCCTCGACCGTTTCTCTTTCTTTTATGGATGTATCGCTGCAATCACACAGGCTGTCGCCTACGTACAGGTACGCAAATGACCGCAAATAGGTCCATTTTTCCTACTTTTTTGCAGCTAGAAACGCTATCAGCGAGTTTCTCCCCCATCGAGCTGACCTATCTGCACGCGTTCAACTCGCTCGTCATTTTCCTGCTGTCGGATATTGTTCAGGTCGGTTTCGTCCCTTTCAAATCGAAATTTTTGCTTTTCAGAAAGTTGTAAATTGCGTTTTTCGCTATTTTTTGGTGATATTTTCTTTAATTGGCTGCCAGTTAGCCCATCTACAAAATGCCGACATGATTCTCAATTTTCAGGACGAGGTTCGTGACGCGTTCATGTATATGATGACGTCAGCAAATGGTCTATTCACCTGTCTTCTTTTGATTCTTCTAGCCACCGGATTCCTGCTAAACGTAAGTTCGCCTAACTGGATGCCAGTTTATCGATTGAAAATGAAAAAATAAATTTTTGTGATTTTTAAAGGGATTGGGAAGGCACCAGGTTATGGATTAGCCGCGCCGCGACACGTAACACGGACGCACCGTAATCCATTACACAATGGAAAGGCGAGGGAGTTCGCAGCGCGGCTAGGCAAAATCCATGAAACTTTGCCTTAGATGTCCTTTAAAGGGAGAGTGACAGCAGACTTTCGAGGTGTCACGCTCCCTTTAAAAACTCCGATTAATTCTTCCACTCACGGAAATTGGCTAACTGACAGCCAGATTCCTAGACTACAAACTACAACAACGCAAAAATTCTCGGTTTTAAAGGGGCAGTGAAGTAGATATCTCAGGATTCAGCAGTCACGCTCCCTTTAAAAAACCCGAAATAATTTTTTTAACCGCGAAAATGGGTTCAATGTTCGCCATTTTACATTTCAAAACACAAAAACCTCCGTATCACTCCCTTTAATGCCGAGATTCCAGTTTGCAACAATGCACTGTCTGACAGCCAATGGAGCACTCGGAACATCACTCGTCTCAAATGTTAGGGCCGCCTTTCAGGTATTATATCAATACCGTAACCCTGAAGTTCGATCGATATTTCCAGATAATGATTGCGTATTACTGTGGGGTGCACCTTTTCTACGATCTCGTCCCATCATTCCTCAATTGGGCTGCTCTATTCACCTGTGCTGGTAAGAAGCACTCTCTCTCTATCTCTCTCTCTCCCTCGCTCTCTCTCTATCTCGCTCTCTCGCTCTCTCTCTATCTCTCTCTCTCGCCCTTCATCTCGCTCTGTCTTTCTGTCTGTCTGTCTCGCGCCATCATCCGTGTTGTAGTACGCTGCAATACTCCCTTTTTCAGCATTCGCCACCGTCTTCTACCGTACCCAAAAGAAGCAGGCCATCCACCACGGCGAGAAGGTCTACGGACCATTACCATAACACTTTTTGACTTTGTTTTAATCGAAAATACATTGTAAAAATAATTATCGAAACAAGAAAAAGGCCGAAACCTTCAAAATATAAATTTATGGACGTTAAACGTGTCTTGATTGAGTTTAGAGAATGTTGGCCAACCATCGCAATCCACTAATTGAATGGCAGGTAGGCGAAATATCTATCTCAAGATTTAGAAATATATATTTAGATTGATGCCAATTTATGTTTAGACGACTTTTTAGACTAGCACCAGGGTTCAAAAATGTTTTCTAATTTTTAAACTGGTTTTTTATGGGCTCCACAAAAATTCAGGTGGCCACCGTATGCGTGGATACAGTATGCCGTCTCTTATGTGGCTGCCTTGCGCAAGCCCTTTTCTTCGAATATTCCTCATTTTGTCTGCTCGTCTCCTCGGCCTCGTTTCTCATCGGAATCGCTCTTTTTCGGTACGTTTGAGGTTACCGTAAAGCACTACGACGCAGTAGTACGCTAGAGTACGTTAGTACGCTCTACTACGCTGCAGTACGTTGTATTCCGATTCAAGGACCTGAGACGTCTAAAACTTGTAGACCGAAGACCGAAAAACAAAAGCCAGAAAACTCGATTTTCTATTTTCAGTCGCAGTTCCCGTCATTCCCTAAATGTGATCCCATCCTGCCTGATCCCCTCGATATTTCAATCGATATCCACCCTCCTCATCCACTCTTCATATTTCTCCACCACAATCCCCGGATTTTCCAGGGTTACGGTAGGTGTATGATATCGGAGGGGTGAGGGAGAGGGAGCAAGAGAGTGAGTAAAAGTGAGAGAGCGAGAGAGAGGGAAAAATAGAGAGAGAGCGAGAGCGAATGAGAGGGAGAATGAGAGAGAGAGAGTTCGGCGAAATGACAGCCAGTCTATAGTAATCACTATTATTCCGCCCATTTCCAGACAATCCTCCCCGTCATCACCGTATTGTTGTGTAGTCTTTTGTCGAAAATTCCCTTCCGTGATGTCCCATTTGGACGTCTTCTCGTTGCCGTCCTTCTCACCGTATTTACCTACACGGCGGGTAGGTTTTTGGAGAATTTTTACGTCTAACTCTCTCTCCGTCTCTCACTCTTTGTCTTTGTCTCTCTAGCTTTCTGTCTCTCACTCACTCTCACGCTCACACTCTCTCTCACTCGCTCACTCTCTCGCTCTTTCTCACTATCTCATTCGCTCACACCCTCGCTCTCTCTCTCTCTCTCTCTCTCTCTCTCTCTCTTTCTCTCTCCATCATCCGGAAAATCCTTATCCTTGCCTTCCATGTCCCTTTAAAAGGGGCCTGGCCTGGTCTTATAAAGGGAATTTGTCAGCTGAAAACGATTTTAGTAAGCGATCAATCCACCCTCCCAATCCCGCCCTCGACATTCCACTGGGCTACTATTGCCATAGCCGGCCAAACTGTCGACTGGTGGATGTACAAAGGAGTGTTGCGGAGGTGGGTCCACAACCTGAAAGGATCACGACATGTTTTTCGGGTTTACTGTATGTCAGTTTGCAGATATACGGTCATGGAGGTACTGTATAATGAGCAAATGGTCCTATTTTTCGTTACTTTCGCTACGGAGTTGTATACGGTAGGTGGGAGAGAGCGAGAGAGACAGACAAAGAGAGATAGAGTGCGATAAAAACGAGAGAGCGTAAGATAAAGCGAGTGGGAGAGAGAAAGATAGCGAGAGAGAGTCCGAGAGAGAGCGAGTGAAAGAGAGAACGAAAGATATCGATTTTCCAGCACGACATCCGTGGCGTGGCCGAATACATGGTTCGATGGCGATTCCCCAACTGGGGTACTGTAGCCGTCCTTTTCCTCATTTTCACCTCAATCAATCGATGGCTTCGACTACGTACACTCCAAATGACGGATGTCCCTACTATGGGTGTACTGTGGAATGGCGCTTTGGCTGCTGAGGTACCGGAACACCGTAATTTTAATCAAACATTTGTCCAGGTTCCACTACATTACTGTCTTTCGCGTTGGGTGTATATGGAAAAGACATGGAAATCGACGACCGCCATCAATTTCATCGCGTCATCGATTGCTGTATCTTGTAGTTTGTATTCTCTCGTTAAATCGAGGCCTGCGAGGGTTATTCTTAGACAAGAATAAATCGTTGAATCACGCTTAAAGTGACCAAATTCCTCGAAAATGCAAAAATGCAGAATTAAAGGGCCGGGCAAGGCAAAAGATCCGGTTCTACTTTGTTAACGGGGGAGTACTATTTTTCCCAGACCCTGTACTGCCCTATAACGAAATCAAGACAATTTTCTTAGCATCTTACACAATTTTTAGACGTTAAATTTTGACACGCCTTTCACGTCACTTTAAAGGCGCTCGAACAGCAGCTAGTTGCTCGTAAACCTGAAAAATAAAACCTAAAATTGCCCATTTTCAACCGATTACGTCATCAAAAACATTTCGCTGCGATACACACCTCTAACAGATCCCAAAACCGATTGTATTTGTTGATCGGTCTGCAGTGTGAGCGAGAGAACGAAAGAGAGAGAGAGAGAGAGAGAGAGAGAGAGAGAGAGAGAGAGAGAGAGAGAGAGAGAGAGAGAGGGAGAGAGCGATAGGGAGAGAGTGAGAGAGAGCGATAGGGAGAGGGCGTGAGAGAAAGAGCCAGATAAGCGGCAAACAAAAGATGTGCTATCTGTTGCTCCCTCTCCATTCTCCTATTTTTCTCATTTACCCGGGAGCACTGATTGCTGCTTACCCTTTTTCCTTTCCGACTGTCCTGCAAACGCCATTTCCGGGATTTCCTTTCTCGTGTCTGTGGAAACACCCAAAAACCGCACCCGAAATCGATTGATTACGACATGATATTGCTTGATTTTGTTCAGCTATAGTTATAAATTTTTTTATGGAAAATTCCAATGGGCTACGGTCGCTTTAGGGACGTAGAATGTTAATTGGCTGTCGGTTTCCCTTTTGCAACAGTAAAAATACAGAAATAGCGGCTGAACAATCGATGACGACATGAAAATCCACAACCTAGACAGCAGCGAAAGCGAGAATTAGCGATTTTTTGGCAAAATTCCCGGCGGCTTTTGTAGTTTGAAAGAACGGAAGCAGTTAACGGACTGTCAGTGAGTGTATTAGTCATCAAAATACAAAAATCTCAGCAACAATCGATTACGACATCAAAATGACCATGTAGCGGCGTGAAACTTTTTTATCGATAATTATCGATTTTTTTCGCAAAGGTCCCAAGTAGTCCCGAGTATTTATATCCTGAGGCTACAAGCTGCTCGTTGATTTGGATGTGTCATCTGGCAGCCAATAATAATAGTCTTTGCTCTCTCTCTCTCTCTCTCTCTCTCTCTGTCTCTCTCTCCCTTCAGGCCCTTTCCATTCCTATTGACGTTCGAAGGGGGACCGACGACCGAATTTGGCGAATCCAGGCAGCCTCAAGCTCGCCAGCTTTAGCTTTCCCCAGGAGTGATAAACAGCTGACAAACAGATCGTTGGTCTTTCCCAACGGATGTCTTTAGTTTCCTCGCGGAATTTTCGTATTTTCAGCTCTATTTGTAACCGTTTTTTATGGATTTTTGCTTTAAAAAATTCACGGTAAACCGGAAATCAGAAAAAAGCACCCAGCAGAGGATAAGCTCTTTCCAGGAAAGTGTCTTTAGTTTCCGCGCGGAATATCTGTCTTTTAACGTGATTTTTAACACTTTAGCTTTTTAAGATCTTCCGAAATTTGGTAAAATCTGGACTTCTTCTAAAATTTTCTGGATTTTAGCTCATAAAAATTATTGCTACCTTTTTTATCTGGTTTTTAATAACGTAATAGATTTATGACAAGTACATGCGTTTTTTGAAAATTTGGAACATCCTTTTTGGGTCTAAAATGTATTTTAGCCAATTTTTCGGGATTTTTTTGATCTTTGGACTTTGATTTACGAAATATAACCATATTACGGTGTTTTTTCATGGAAACAAATCTTTATAGCTGCAAAATTTGTAGACTTTGGAATGTGGCGCGTCGTGTAGTTTCACACTGGCCCCAATCGCCTCACAAAATACCCCATACACAGCCCCCGTCCCGTAGCCTTATCATACAGCCCTTTCTCTCTCTCTCTCTCTCTCTCTCTCTCTCTTTTCGTCTATCCCCTCCCTCCCTCCCATATTTTCCTCGTTAATCAGTCTCAAAATTTCGAAAAATCGCCCAGGTCGAGATGAACTTTAGCACGAGTCTCGAGTCCTCAAATTGTCGATATTCAGTTGTGGAATAAACTTGATAAGTTATTTAATTGATATTTTGATATTCAATTGCTTAGTGCTTTCTGGATTTGCTTATCTGAATTTTATTACAAATTACAATGTAAACAAATACCTTTGTCGGCTCTAAGTAAGTTTATCAGTCGATTTATGAAAGGGATACCCAAGGTTTTGGTGGCAAATATATAGTTATGTATTCCGGGCAGTACAAATGACGCGCGAATTTTGTGTGGCAACGAGGCGCCAGTGCCGTACAGAATTCGGACACCTTTCCCTCTTGCGGCGTCCCCATCCCACCCAATGGCTTGCCACTATGGCCTAATGGATAGCATCCTGGCCTATGAAACGGGGGTCCCGGGTTCGACCCCCGCCCGCGGCATGGTGTTTGCCTTTTGAGCCCCGAAAAGGTTGGGCATCCCTTTAAAGGTGTTTTTGTTGTTTTTCAATTTTGCTCGTGCTTTCTTTTTCCGTATTGCTTTTTTTGCACTTATCTCATTTTAAGGCCAACAAAATAAATTTCTAAAAGATGTCGGTGCAGTCAAAAATGCTGGAAGTGGCCCTCGATCCGGATAAACGGAGAAAGGTACGATTTTCATTTTTTCTGAATTTCAGTTAACATTTTAAATTGGTTTTTGAGCATACAGATTACAAAATATTGACATTTTCAAATATGCAGCCAAAAATCTGATTTTTTTAGTATTTATTGGGCGGAATCGCGACGATCGTGCTCTCCACGGTCGGGGCAAAGTTTTTATTCAGAGGTATGTCTGCCGAATGTATCAAATTGTTCCAGAGTTCTAAAAATTCAATTTGAACCCTGCAAATATAACAGATGCTTTGAAAAGTGTAATAAAAAGCCGGGGAAAAAACGAAAACTGCTTGATTTTCCGAAAAACATAACATTTTCGACTTTCAAATTTTTCGATTTTTTTGAACGACAATGCTCGTGACTTCAATGGAACTTTAAACTCCCGTGACAATTTATTTTTAATATGTATTTGTATATATTAAGTTTCGTTTCAATAATTTGAATTTAGGCGACAAAAAGTGGAAGGCAAAGAATGGCGTCAAATTGGGGCACGCGCACCAAAAGAACCCATACAGAACGAGGAAGGCTTTTGACCCGGAATTTATTGCACAGGTCGGTTGAATGGGTGTCAATTCAAGAAAATACCAGAAAAATTCCCGAGGATTTTGGCGTCCTTGGCGAGGACGAATTGCGAAATCTATTAAAAAAAATCAAAATAGCGTTTTTTTTTGCAGCTCCGCACGTTGCTGAAGATCATGGTGCCCGGGCTGTTTACGAAAGAAGCTTTTTGCCTTGGTTCGTGGCATTCATTTCTGGGCTTTTAAAGGGGTGGCGACAACTAGAGACTAGCTTTCCACCGCTTTCGAAAGTGAAGTGAATGCGTGAACAAAGTCAAGTTTCTTCTTTAAGGGAGTGTAGGAAACTGAAAAGGGAGCATTACGGGGAGCCGGAACTCGCCAAAAATCTTGCTTTTAGGCGTTCACTCGCTAATTCTCGTGACAAGGACCTTCATTTCGATCTATGTGGCATCACTGGAAGGGAGACTTGTAAAGGTGAGTGAGAGAGAGAGAGGGAGAGAGAGAGAGGGGCGAGAGCGAGAGAGAGTAGGAGAGAGAGTGGGAGAGAGTGGGAGGGAGAGAGAGAGAGTGAGCGAAAGGGGGAGGGAGAGAGCGAGGTTGAGCGAGACAGCGAAAGAGCGAGAGGGGAGGGAGAGAGCGAGAGAGCGCGAGAGCGAGGAGCGGATTCTGCCGCCTCCCGAGCGCATTTATCAGGTCGTAATCGATTACGGTGTGTAAAACTTTGCGCGCGTTGCGTGTCGCGGCGCCCCAAAATCCGTCTGCCTTTAATTATGCGATTTTAATCCCTCAAAAATCCATTTTTTTCAGGCGATCGTGGAGCAGCGTGGGTGGCACTTTGCAATGCTGCTGTGTCGATGGTTGGGTGTTGCCATCCCGGCCACTCTAATCAATTCCCTGATTCGTTTCTTCGAATCTCTTCTTTCTCTTCAATTCCGAACAAGACTCACCCAGCATGCATATTCACAATATTTCTCCGATGATACCTACTATAAGGTGCGTATCTTTAGCACTTTCGGAATATTCCTTGTGGCTTCGTAATTTTTAATTTTGCAGGTGTCAAACCTTGATGGCCGCCTAGCAAATGCAGATCAATGTTTGACAGAAGATGTGTCGACATTCGCCCAATCAGTCGCGCATCTATATTCACATCTGACGAAGCCATTGCTTGATATTGCACTCATCACGTGAGTCTCAGCAAATACCATCTATCTCCCCTCTCCCTCCCTTGATTAATACCGTAATATTCTCGGGGAGAAACCACTTTTTTAGTGGGCGGCGATTACATGTCGTAATGCCTTGTAAGACACCCAATCTCTCGATCTCCGTGATTCTCTCATCAATTTTGATCATTAAAAAGTCTAGAATGATCAAAATTCGATGAGGATTACAGAAATAACTTGAGAATTTTCAAATTCAAGCGTTTTCACGTCCAAACCGGGGCAAAAGATCATGCGACGCGGTCGCGTTGCGGTCAAACCTGGTTTGCCAGGAATCAACGAAGGGGGCCGTGGAGCAGATTTCGGAGCCCGTTTAACCAGGAATTTTCAGGGGAACTCTATTGATGATGGCCCGCAAGAGATCAGCCTCGAAGCATACATTCCTTCCAATGAGTCTGGCTGCCGTTGTTATTGGAGGCACGGCACAGATATTGAAGGCCATATCGCCGAGGTGAGTCTTTTTTTGGTGTCACTGCCCCTTTAAAACGCTTTTAAAATAAGAACAATCTTTTTGTTGGATTACATTTAAAACAAATTTAATTTACAAATATCTGGCACAAAATTCCGCCCAAATCGCTGTCGGGTGCCAAAATTACGAAAATATGCAAATTGCAATTTTTTTGAGGTTTTTCCCGAAAGAGGACTTCGCTAAAAAGGGCTACCGTATGCCAGAAAAGAAAAAAAACTGGAAATTTTCAGATCTGGATGCCCAGTTCCTTTAAAACTTTGCCAAATTCTTTACTGGATGACAGAACAGCCAAGAATGTAAAAAAACGA